CTCTATACCCGATAATGGAGATAGTATTGACAATTGGGCAAATCAAGTTTCAGCTTATATTTCAACTATTGTTCATCGTATAGATGTTAGCAGAGACTTAATAAGAATAGGTGCTTTCTTGTTTAGAGGAACTACTTCTTCCGAAGTCAGGACTCTATGGAATTTCAACAGTTATGGCAATTCAAGACCAACTTTAAGACAGAACTATCTTAATCAATTGGCAAGTAATATTAGAAATTATGCAGTTTCTCGTGGAAGAAATTTCTATGCTGCTTTCCAATATTCGAAATTTAATATGTTCGATAGAAATAGGAACGGTGAGAGACGTACGGCTAGTAACGTACTGGTTGTTTTAACACACAATAGAGCAACTGCTGACACTAACTTACAGTTTAATGAAGCCGATACTTTAAGAAATCCAACCAGTGGAAATTATGATGCTATAAATGTCGTTATGATTGGCTTTACAAACACAGCTTCCGAAACAGAACTTAGAGGTTTATCAAATCCTCCAAGAATTAGAAATCAAAACTATTTCCATTTCTTTAGCAATGACAATCGATTCACTAGCATTGATAGAGCTATGACTGAAAATGTACTTAGATACGTCTGCAATCCACCAACTACCAATGCCCCAACTGATCCACCAACTCTTGCTCCTTTTATTCCCTGTATGACTCTCAGCATTGACTTATTGTTTGTTATAGACGCCTCTAGACCTGAAAATGGTGATAGCACCACTAACTGGGCCCAAAGAGTTCAAGAATATGTCCTATATACAGTTAATAGGCTACGATTTAGTAGCAATAATTTCCGTATAGCTGCTGTTCTCTTTGCTGGAGATAGTTGGACTCAAACACTTTGGCGATTTAATTCTTACGGTGATGATTTGAACAACTTAAAAACTAATTATATATCAGGAATATCTAATTCGATTAACAATGCTGGAGGTAGATCCGGCAGAAGCTTTTATAGAGCCTTGCAACTTGGTGAAGGTTTTTTCGAAAGAAACCGAAATGGTGAAAGAAATTTTGCTAGGAATGCTATTGTTCTCATTACACATAATCGCGCTACTAGGGATCAGAACTCTCAAGTGAATCAAGCAAATCTTTTACGCAATCCCCCGAGTAACAGTATTTATGATACTATTAGTATTTACACGGTTGGAATTTCTAGAACAGTTTCTGAAAATGAACTAAGAGAACTTTCTGATCCTCCAAGAGAAATAAACAAGAACTACTTCCTCTACCTAAACAATGAAAATGGATTTACTCGTTTTGAAAGCTTTATGTCTGAGAGAGTATTACAATACGTTTGCGTTCCTGCTACAACAGCAGCTCCGGGAGAAAGAGGGGATACAGGTTGGACTGGTCGTCAAGGAGATACCGGTAGAATTGGCCCTCAAGGAGATACCGGTAGAATTGGCCCTCAAGGAAATCAAGGCTGGACTGGTCGTCAAGGAGATACCGGCAGAATTGGTCCACAAGGAAATCAAGGCTGGACTGGTCGTCAAGGAGATACCGGCAGAATTGGTCCACAAGGAAATCAAGGCTGGACTGGTCGTCAAGGAGATACCGGTAGAATTGGTCCACAAGGCAGGAAGGGTGAGATTGGACAAAAAGGTGAACGAGGATTTGATGGTAGTAATGGTAGTAATGGCAGAGATGGACTTCCTGGTACCAAAGGATCCAAAGGAGAGATGGGTAGTACAGGCTTTAAAGGAGAACGTGGTGATCGGGGACTTGATGGTTCACGAGGTTTCACTGGTCAGCCGGGTAATAATGGAAGGGATGGGCTTAAGGGAGAAAGAGGTTTTACTGGCCCAATAGGTCCAAAAGGCAACAGAGGAGATTCCGGAATCGGTTCCCGTGGACCTCAGGGAGACACTGGGAGAATAGGTTTGAGTTTTTAAAGCAGAAATAGATTATATATATATGGTTACATCATACCCCTTTAATAGGTCCAATTGGTAATAAAGGAGAGGCCGGAAGTAGAGGTCCTCGAGGATTTGATGGCCAAAAAGGTGAGCAAGGCTTTACTGGACCAAGAGGACCTCTAGGCCCTCAAGGAAACAGAGGTGATCCCGGTATACAAGGTGAAACAGGAAGCACTGGAGCAACTGGTCCAACTGGTTTAACAGGATCAACAGGTGCAACCGGTCCTACAGGTTTAACTGGACGTCCCGGACCACCTGGTCAAGATGGTAGAACAGGAGCATCTGGTAATGCCGGTCCCACTGGTCCAACTGGTTTCACTGGATTCACTGGCGCTCGTGGACCACCAGGACCGACAGGTCCAGCTGGAGGTAGGGGATCTGATGGTATAAGTGGCCCGCCAGGAGATTTGGGAGCAACTGGACAAAAAGGTAGACCCGGAGACACAGGGAGAGAAGGTCCACAGGGTCGTAAGGGAGAAATTGGTCCAGAAGGCCGTCAAGGCATTCAAGGCCGTCAAGGACCATCTGGTCCCACCGGATTTACTGGTTCAACTGGTCCACGTGGGCGAGAAGGTCCTGTCGGACCACCAGGACCCATCGGTTTTTCGGGACCTCGAGGACCTAGGGGAGATTTTGGTGCAACAGGTGAAACTGGACCAAGAGGATTCGATGGCAATCCTGGACCTAGAGGGCCTCCAGGAGGTCCTGGATGGACCGGCGACAGAGGATGGACTGGACCTCCCGGAGATACAGGTAACAGATTTTAGCATTTATTTAGGGTCTCAACTTTATAATCATATTTAATTTTTAGGACAACCCGGAAGATTAGGATCACCTGGTTGGACAGGAGACACCGGTGTTCGAGGTCCGACTGGACCAAGAGGTCCTCAAGGATTTTCTGGCCCCTTAGGCGCTACAGGAGAATCTGGTCCAAGAGGTTTTGACGGTCCTCGAGGAAACCCAGGTCCAACAGGACCAACAGGCTTCACAGGTTTTACCGGAGCTCCCGGTCGAGAAGGTAGACAAGGGCCCCCAGGAAACACTGGATCATCTGGATTAAGGGGTCCTCCAGGAAGAGATGGTTCTCAGGGTATAAGAGGTAACATATCCAAAGTTTCTGTTTTCCAAAATCACTGCTTGATTTTATTTATGATGTCTTATTTTTTGATAGGTGAAACCGGTCCAAGAGGTTTTGACGGTCGTCAAGGACCAACCGGTCCTACAGGATTTACAGGATTTACAGGCCCAAGGGGTTTCACTGGCCCCAGAGGCCTTCAAGGAGATACTGGACTAGCAGGAAGAGATGGTTTTGGACAAAAAGGTGTTAAAGGAGAACCTGGTCAACTCGGTCAAAGAGGAAGTGACGGTTTACCTGGAAGAAACGGAGACCAAGGACCTCAGGGTTGGACAGGTCGACCTGGGCCTCCCGGTAGAGATGGTTTCAATGGTATACAAGGTCCTAAAGGAGATACTGGTGCACCTGGTCCAAATGGTAGGGATGGATTTAATGGCCTTCCTGGTCCAAATGGCCCCCCTGGTTGGACTGGTGAGCGAGGTCCTAGAGGATTCGACGGATTAAGAGGACCTACAGGACCTAAAGGGCGTGATGGTACAAGTGCAGGCAGAGGTGATACTGGAATCCCAGGGCCTATGGGATTTACAGGTGAAAGAGGACCTCCTGGTTTCGGTTTACAAGGAGCAACTGGTCCACAAGGACCAAGAGGTCTTGATGGAATTAACGGAATAAATGGCGCAAGAGGGCCAACAGGAAGACAGGGTCCACCCGGTCCACCTGGAGGCAGCGGTGTTGGTGCTTTTTCACCAATTTATTGGTGTCAACGTCTTGGATCAGCAAGCCGACCAAATAATTATCCATATCATTCGTGCGATCACTATTGCCTAGATCGTTATTTCGGATACACTTGCGGCTGTCGCGAAGGCTTTGAAATTAGTACATCTACAATCCTCGATTGCGGAGATAACAGCCCTCAAAATCAAATTGTTAGAATCAGAGAGCCTCATTTCTATGGCCCAAGACAAATAACCCTATGTTACTATGAATATAGAAATTTGGGATTATATTTCTGGGGACCTTCCAGAAGACATAGGGAATGCGTTGGTAAATACAGATATTACATATTTCTTGGCAATAATAATTTATATTATTCTTAAATTTTTCTTTGTTATAAAACAGCAATTAATGAATGCCTCTTAACGGATTACCGAGGGCATAGATGTCAACATATATGTAATAATGACAATACGGCGAATAACCCATATAGCTGTTCATGTTACCCAGGCTTCCAATTGCAAAGTGATAGAAGAACTTGCCGAGGTAAGCTATATAAAAACAGTAGATGGCGCCGTTTGCTCCACATCTCAAAGATTATTTAATGTAACCCCTTCTTTTTTTATTGAATAGATGTAAACGAATGCCTGAATAATCAGGCTTGCCCAGCTGGCTCAAGATGCTTGAACACATACGGAAGCTATTATTGTATTCAAGAGAGCGTATTCCGTAATCCATTACTTGGTTAATCGGAAAGCAAGGCAGGAAGGGGTGAAAGCAGAATAATTTCCAAAGAATAATTTTTTCTATTCGGATTTTTAGTGTGATTGTTGTTTTATTTGCGAATATGCTTTTTGTTTGTAAAAGGATGTAATTAGATAATATGATTAAGCAATATTAATTATCGGATTCGTGTATTCCATTATTTTGTATCTTAGTTTTTCTCAAATAAACCAATCAGTTTTTCTCGTTCCAAGTTTTAATAACAATTTCGTTGTAGACCAGAGTTAAACTTCCTCATCCTTCTTCACTTTTTAGGGAAATAAACAATTTAGTAGTCATATAGGCATATTTATGAATTCGTTGACAAAAGCTTAATAAAAAGGACGGTTTACATATTAGAATATAAGAAAGAATAGTTGCGAACTGACGAGTTCTCGCTTTTCTTTTAATTGTAAAAAGCGCCCTCTGCAGATGGCGTTAGAAAAAAAACAAAGCCATAAATTAAAGGTAAGCTCCGCCTACAACGAAAATATCGAATGGCTATGTGACTACGTATTCATTTTCGGATCTCTAGCAAGAGCGGTTGCCTCATTAGCATTGTTTGCAGTATTCTCAAAGGATTAAAGATCGTTTACGGAGCAGGCTTTTTTCTATTACACTCTATATATTTTGTTTAGAATGGATATTATCTTGGACAAGACTTGACTAAGCCGGGTTCAGAAAGAAATTTAAAAGAAAAAAAGGAAAAAAGAAAATTTATCTCTCTTTGCCTCATTTTTTTCTTATCTCAAAGAAAAAGTTGGACTTTTCGATAATTGGATATCGAAAGAAAAGGAAACATTGAAAGAATACCTCCTTAAAAACTTTGACAATTTAAAAGGGGTAAAATTAAAAGGAGAAAGATTCAAGAATATTGCTTTTTCTTTAATATTTCTATAATAAGAGAAGATAATATGAAGCTTCTATCAGCTTGTTTATTATTTCATCTTCTTGTCACGTCATCTGCTATCAAATGGCTGTAAGTTATTTATATAAATTTTATTATTACTATTATTATAGATTACTATCTTGATTCTTATATGTATTTATAAAACAAAGATAGTATTCACCCTACTTTATTCATTTACTCTATTCTAAACTACATAGTCTCTCAATTGTTCTATTATAAAGCCTATAAAGAATCCACAAAAATCAAGATAAGATAAATGTGGCATGTGAATGTTCTTTGTGTAACTAGCTTTCTATACGTAGAAGAGGGCCCGAGTGGGGGATATGATTGCTCAGATGGCTGTATAAGGGTTTCGAGTGTGAAAAAAAACATACCGGTCGTTAAAGTCTCTCAGCGGAACCCTTTATTCTTTATGAGTAAACGAATCCTTTCTAAAATTTACCCTCATTTCGTAATAAATCAAAGGCCGGCTATAAGTTAATTAAGTAATTTTAAAACGCTTTTTTGAACACTTTTCAGGGCTGTAGGCCGACAAAATGGCCCTTTGAGACGGTCGGATTGCCGGCGTTTGAAGAGGGAGACAATTTTTACAAAAGATCAAAGCCGAATGTGTACAGAGAATGCCGATATTATTCCAGTTCTAAAGCATTCTTCCGAAACAGTTATCAAGTCTTGTAAGACACTATTCGGTAGGAATCGGTGGAATTGTTCATCAATTGAAAAACTTCCAAAGTTATCGAGAGATTTAACAATTGGTAAGTAAATATTATTAATATATATAGTACGTAGAGCACTTTGTAATAGTTTATAATATTTTTTAAGTTAATCCATTTAATAACTTAATAAATTTTGAAATATTATACTCTTTTCTAGGGAGTAAAGAACAGGCTTTCGTTCACGCATTTTCGACGGCCAGCCTTATTCAAATAATCGCCCAAGCATGCGCTTCTGGGTCAATTTCAAGCTGTTCTTGTGGAACGCCGGTAAACGTTTAAACTGTTTTTCTTTCTATACCTTATCAGATAGGCGTCGAAATTTAGGTCGATATAGCGGGTTTTATGGCGGTGGGGAGGGTGGTTGTTTTCTTTTATTTTAGGAGCCCGGGGCCGTTTAGATAAAAGCACCCTACCATTAAAGTTGAATATGACGCGTAACACCTCCCGGGTAGGTATAGTTGGAAACATCGCACAAGCTTTAAATCCATCAACCTTTGTAATTATTTAGCTATTTATCGTTTTGACTTGAAAAAAATGTAAAAAATGGAGTGAGAATTGAATTGTGACAAAGAAGAAGTGTTTAACTCGAGTAAAGAGCGTTTTTTTTTTCTTTTTCCAAAGCATTCTTCAGTTAATTCCTTACTTTCTCTAATTATTTATCTTTATGAATAGTTCCTTTATTAAGCCCTTATTGAACAGTTTATTTTGCTTAAACAAATCAGATAAGAAAAAGAAAGGAGTTAGAACCTGATAAGCGAGCTCGCGATGCTATGTCGACGGAAAATCGTCACGCTTTCATAGGATGTGGTCATAATCTTCGCTTCGCTACAAAGTTTGCAAGAAACTTCGCCGACGTTCCTTGGGACAAACGTCTACGAAAAACTACCAGAAGGCCTACTAAGAATTTAAGATTAAATAAAAGAAGTCTCACTAATCTACATAACAACAGAGTTGGACGTCAGGTGAGTTAATATCACTTTAAGCTTTCCATTTTGTTTTGGTTATCTATACATTTATTTATTTATTTACTTGTCAATTTTGCCCCAACTGACCCGTAAGATAATTTAATTGAATGGAAAGTAAATCCTTAGTCTAATTTAATAGATTAACAATAGGAAAAGTGGAAAATTTAAACCTAACTAACGGTGAGAAAAGAATGTAATAAAGCAAAAAAATATTGGGAAGGTTCCGTCTGCGAAAGATTTCTAGCTGATTAGAAAATAAGAACTTGGCCAGATCGGGTTGATAAAGCGAACAAATGCAAGCACATTAGGCCTATATTTAGGTAAGTTTAACCCATTACGAAATTTAAAAATAAGTTTAAGAGGGTCATATAGGAGATAATTGCTTTATAATGCTTATAAATCATTTGCATACGTAAATTTTTTAAAGCCCTGAATCCTTAAAAGGATTAATATAAATATTAACAAAATTAGAAATATTGCTTTTCTTTTTGGATCAATAAAAAAGTTTTTTAAAGTAATTTTTTTTTTAATAAAAAAAAAGTAGCCAATTTTGTTTTTTGTTTTCAATATCAGAGTAATCTAAATAGAATGCACTTGTTTAATGTTGTAAATAGAATAGTACAAGATTACTAAATCATTATAAATAGTTGATAAGTTACTCAACAGGCATTTAGTACTTTATTTATGTATATATACAGCGTATATACACTATTATATTGTTTGTAGTTGCCTACGCAATTCGATTCGATTAACCGGAAGTTGTAAGGTTGTTTTTTATAGGTGTTTCTTTCGTTTAGTTCGCTTTTTGGGAGGGTGATTTTCGTTATTATTTACGTATGCATAAGCTGTTGATTAATTTATATTAAATTGGATGTTTTGAATCCTTTGAAGCTTCACTCTTTTCTTTGTTAAAAGTGGTAGGGGAGGAGTTAAATTGGTGGGAGTACAATTTCTTTACTTTTATTTATTTTACTATTAAACCTATTCGAGCAATTACAATTGTTTACATCGAATAGCGAAAGACGCCCCGCTCTTGTAATCGCCCATTTTCTTTTAAACACGTCCGATGTACCCCTCAAGGCTTTTTGAACAACTTCCTGTTCGTAACTTTTTCCCGCTAAAAAGAGTAGGGAAATTTATTGAATGCGTAACAAGAAAGTACGTTACGTAATATAAAGATGATAAGAATATGTTAGAAGTTGAATGATCTAATTAAGCAAAGGTAGTACGTAATGTGATTCTAATGATAAGTTATGCGATGCGGCTCAGCTTGTCTAACCAGATATTAGCGATAGATATCATCGAGAGCAGGAAATGGGTAGAGTAGTCAAGATTCTCTATCTGTTCCCTACATTCTTGTTTATCTTAGCTTTATAAAGAAGGAAAAAAGGTAGGTGAAGAAGGGATGGGAATGGTAAAGTTAAACAGGAAAAAGAGAGGAAAGAAAAACAGCGGGCGCGGTCTGTTGTAAAGGAATTAGAGCATTCAAGACGAATGCGCCCGATCACGATTAAGCGCCATTCTACGTGGCCATGTGTGGCTTTCACTATCAGCGATGCCAAGTAAATGAAAGATGAGATTACAAACATCCTTTTGGAAAGTTCCGCTCCGTTGCCCTAACTCAGAAAATATACGATCCCTAAGCCGAAAAAAGTTTCTTTTCCCCCTAACTTACCTTTTTACTTTTCATCTTATCAATTTTTTTGCTAATTCCTTCAAAATTTTTATAAAAGTTTCCTGTTTTTTTTTTCACAGGTAGCAAATAAATTAGTACAAGAAAAGTGTAGGTGCCACGGTACCAGCGGGAGCTGTACTGCCAAAAGTTGTTGGCGGATAGTGCCATCGCTTGAAAAAATCGGCAAGCATATTCAAGTAAACAATTCATTGAAAATAAATAATTATATATATATATATATATATATATATATATATAGACTGTTTATACATATAGGCGTTTTGTTTGGTATTAATCGACAAACATTTATTTAAAGGTCTTGTACGGCGAAAGCATCCAGGTTCGGGCAAAATTCAATAAAAAGAAGGAAAAGAGAGTTTTGATTAAAGTGACAAACCCATTCAAGAAAGCCCCAATCAATAAAAATGTTAAACCAGACCAACTTGTCTTTTATACAATATCGCCAGATTATTGTAAAGCTGATGAAAGATTTGAAACTCCGGGAACGACTGGAAGGTAAGTTACATAGGATTATGAAATTTATTTTATCTATTTCCCTTCCTCTACTAAGTAATACACCAATTATTGGAAAACTGCCAAGTATACATCAATTTTAAATAAAAAAAGAAATCTCTTTTTTTCTTTCCTTAACTAAAAATGTCGGTGCGAGTCGCAAAGAGATAAAATAAGACGAGGATGGAATTTTTCTTCTCAAAATCTTATGCATGTTTCTTATTTAAACTCTTTGATAAAAGATCTTTTTATATAAGAGATTTGTTACTTTGTTTCGTTAACTATTTCTTTTCGTTTAAACAGAACTTGCGAAGAAGTTGGCGATGGTTCCTGTGAATCATTGTGCTGTGGAAGAGGTTATACGACAGAAAGCATAAAAGTTGTCGAACGATGCGATTGCAAATATTACTGGTGTTGTTACATCAAATGTAGCAAATGTACTAAGCTCATCGAAGTGCATCAATGTAGATAGACTGATCTCCAGTAGTTTACCTATTACTTTTTCCTCACCATCTTTTATTATAAACTTTATCTAAAAAAAAACCAATTCAAGTGTATGACCAGGCAAAAGCCTATTATTTTCCTTTTCTTTTTCTTTCGTCCGTTTGTTGTTTGTTTGTCTTGAAGCGTGAATTATTTTGTAAATAATACAAACACTTTTTGCGCTACCGCCATCTGCTTGATCAACAAAGAAAAATTTTGTTTGTGTGGACGTCTTTTTTCTTAAAGCGTGCGGGAAGCTTTTACAGTTTCATCAATTTATAATAAAATCTTTATATCAATATATAAATTAGAAGAAGAATATAGTTTTTTCATCAATGTTCTTTTTATTCACAATCTAACTCCTAATCATAATTCACTCTCTATTACAACGAACATTGCAAAAGATAACTTTTTTGTGACCAAATATGGGCAGCTTCGTCAGCCTCTTCAATTGTCTCTTTCTGTTTTTTAAGAGTTCCCAAAAATAAAACATAACTATCATTGGTTTTTCGTTTTGAAGACATTCTACTTAAAACTTTATATCGGAAGATATACTGACAATCAGCAGTAAATGGAAGAACAAAACATTCGTGGAAGTTTTTTTTACGGAAGTACGAAGACATGTAAGAATGCTGGGAAATTAGCAGTTTTCATTGTTTCTTTTTCTTTTTTTTTTAAATACAAAGAACAAACAATTAGAATGAAAAAAGAAAAACAAAAAGCAGGCAGAAAAATAAACAAAGTATCTTTCTTGTTTGCATGATCCAACAGATAAGATTGAACTTAAAAAAGAGTTCAATTTAACTTAGAAAAGGTAAACAATTACGATACACCTAAAAAAAGTTAGTCAATTCAAGTAGAAAATTAAGAAAAAAAACAATTTAACAAACGGAATGTATATACATGTATATATATATATATATATATATAATCAATAATAAACCCTTTCTTATGTTTTCTCTTTAAAATAACATAATTAATTAAAATTTTTCCGTCTTTTTTCTTAATAATACTTTTAGAAAAGGAAATAAATCACAGTCAAATAAAGGAATGGCTGAGTAATAATTGATTTTTGTTGTGGTTGCTGTTGTTGTTGTAGTTGATTTTACAAAGCATATGGAAAAATATTAACTTTAAAAAGACAAAGAAAAAAAAAACAAGGAAAAAATAGAATACAAACAAAAGTTGAACAAGTTCTAATACATATATACATAATCTGTGTATTTATTAGCAGAGACTCAACTAAAAAGGAAGTATTGTTTAACAAATTATTAAAAACAATTTGCTTAAAAATCATCTTTTCGTTGTTTTAGGTTAGTTTTCTTTAAATTAAAGCAAATTTCCTTTTTTTCGGTCAAAAAATTTCTAGAAAACTAAACTCTAAAAGTTTGTGAATTAATGTTTCTTTTTATATACGAAATATGACTTATTTATCAATATAAGCATAATTTCTTTATTTATTCTTCTAGTTTAATAATTTATTATTATTATTATTAAACTTTTCCCTTTTTACAATATATGCTTTTCACTTGTTCAACCTTTAGCATCTTTTTCACTATTAAAAAGTTTACTTGCACAGAAGGAAAAAAAGCCGTTTCTTTTCATTTTACTATTATACAAGTTATCATTGAAACCTAAAAGTGATCGATATATGTATAGATATATATTTAATATATATATACTGTATATATAAAACCAGTGATCACGCGTGTAGCCCATTTTTTGTTTCTAAATATATTGCACTTACACATTAAAAAGCATCTTGTTCATAAAATTTTCTTGATATTCTTATTTGATTTCTATACTTTTGCTTGCTTCTAGTATTATCTTCTTTTGTAGTAGACCTTCATTGTATTTTATTAAAAATTTCTTTTTACATTACTAGTTTCTTCAATTTTAAGATCATGGGCGAGATAAATGCAAACGGTTGCGATGTGCCAGGAGATGGCGCTGTAACTCACTTTTCAGACCAAATGACTTCCCACACGAATCTATTGGACAACTAAGACGAGCTCGACCGTCGTGACCTTCTTTAGTTCTGTGTGGATAAATTACAATTGTAATAATAAGTATATTTAAAAGAACATGCAAAAAGCGAGAGATCAGAGTGATATTTCCATCGAGCGCCACCTGTTAGGATATAGTTTATAAAACTTGCCTACCTATGGCGACTGAGCTGATAACTTCTCTCAAAGACTTTACCGCATTCAAAGCATTTATAGCGATTTTCGATAGGGTGACCATTAGTTTGCGTGAGTGTTATTGGATTCTTTTTGGGAGTTTCCGGTTGAACAGCGCTGTCCGGTGTAATATTTTTCGAAATGGGAGCTACAGTTCCACTAGGAGGCGACGTATCTTTTGTAGATAGCTTAATGTCCGAGTTATGAACATTCCTTAGATGAATGTTAACTATATCAACCCTGCTAAAAGTCACCTGACAAATGGGGCAACTGTACGGCTTTTCGCCAGTATGCTTCCTTCTATGATTTATTAGATGAGCCTTGACCCCAAATATCATACCACAGTCCTCGCATTTGAAGCCTTCTAAGCCACCGTGTCCTTGTTTTCGTTGATGGTATTGTAAATGAGGCTTGTGTTTAAAGTTTGCTCCACAATCTTCACATTTAAATTCGGCACAGTCGGAAGAGCAGCTTGAGGAAGACGATGAATGATTCTTTTCAGAGATTTCATTCGTTTTAATTGGTGGGGTTCCCGGTACATTCAATAACGACATAGACATTAGCTGCTGTGATACGAGATCCTGGAAGACAAGAGGATCTAAAGTTGGTTGAGACAAAGTGAGTACCGGATTTTGGAATAAAAGACTCCATAGTGCTGTGTTATTCTTAAGGGCTTCCTTATAAGCTAAATTGTCATCTCTCCTACCTTCTGATGCCTTAACGTTATTTGCGTTTATATCGCTACCATCGTAATGAATAGTTGCAATATGACGCTCCAAAGTTAATTTGAGGTTAAATTGACTAGAACAAAAGTTGCAACGGAAAACCCTTTTATTTTTCTTGTGACGCTGTCTGAAGTGTAATAGGACCATTCTTTCACTTGACGACTTGAAAGTACAAACTTTGCATTCGTACTTCTGATTAATACGATCCTTTCCAATACGCATGCGCGACTGTTTAATTAAGTAAGATTGGCCAACCTTTTCCCCTTCTTGAGGATCTTCTGGCTTCTTTTTTGGCTTAATTGGTTCTGAGTTGTTTTCGTTTCGATTCTTCTTAAGCATCAAATCTCCTTTAAAGGGATTAATCATATGATATTTTCCGGATCGATAATCCATTCCGGTTACTTGTAAACTAAATTCGTTGTGTATCGTAACCAGGTGACTATTCACGTTGTTAACCCTTGATAAATACTTGTCACAGCTATTTAAAGGACATTCGTACATTAGTGATAGAGTGTGGGCTTGCGCGTGAACTTTAAACTCTTCAATAGTATTAAATTTTCCATCGCATTTGGCGCATACATATTTTCTGGCATCGTCATTATTATCTATACTATTCATAAAATTTTCATCCTTTTTCGACTTTTTTGCCACTGGAAAATCCATTTGTGTAATATTATTTCTAGGGAATGCACTATGCAGCTCTGGACCTTTTTGATTAGACGACGAAAGTACAACGTTGACTAATTGATCGATGCATTGTTGGGCTTTTGATGGCACGTTTAGGGCGTCCAGGGTCGATTCGGTCGCTAGGATGTTGTGTTTATTGCGCAGGTGTAGGACTAGTAGACTTTTATAATTAAATTTCGATCCACATCTTTTGCATTGGAACGATTTATGAGGTTGATTCGATTCATCTATTGTTTTGCAGTTTTTATACTTGTGAAAGTTGAATGACAGTTGAGTTCTGTCCAGTAGCAAAAAAAAAAATAAAAAATTACATGTAAACACAATTAAATTATGTTCTTTTATTAATAAAATTTAGTAGGAATTATTCAATTATTTCTTCTTTCTATATTATCTTTCTATATGAATATTCAATTATTCAAATAGCTTAAAGCTGTTATTAAAATCTCTTTTTCGTACATAGTAAGTGGTACAATACTATGTCGTTAATTTCAAAAAAAAAGAGAAAAACACAATATACTCCTAGGCCTAAATGTCTTTGTGTGTATTTTGTTTTTTAGGTGCGACTTATTTTTAACTGATTAAACGCTGTTATTGTTTCGTTTATAAATACATTTTACTATGTATGCTATAGATACTTTCAACATATCTCAGAAGAAGAAAAGAATGAAACGAATAGATTGTTAAATAGCTAGATACTTAGATAGATAGAGATAGATAGATTGATATGTAGATAGATAGAAAAAAATGAAAAATATGCGACATAGGTACTTGAAGAGACCTTACCGAAACGATTCCGAGCAATTTTCGCACGTATATTTAAAACTGGCACTTTGTAAATTTGCTAAGATGTTATAATCTTCTTCTTTTACTATAATTTGAGTACGATGATCTTCGTTTAGATGCCTATTAACCTGTTCCACGCTACCACTAAAAATCTCACAAGCTGGTAATGGACATGGCAATTTCTTAACTCCTTCAGAATGCTGTATTCTTGCGTGCTCATATAAAACGTTCCTATTGCCAAATGCTAGGTCGCATTCTCTGCATATAAACGGTAATTTCGCACAATGGGCAGCTCGGTGGCAATGATATAAGAATGCCTTGGAAGTAGAAAAGATGGCGCCACAGTCGCTACATTCCTTTCGTCCCTTTTCATCGTCGTCGTGTGATAATTCGATAAGTTCGACTTGTTCCTTAGTTAAACCGCTTAAATCGTCATAGGTATATCCTTCAGACGGTACTGTTTGTACAACTTTTCTAGGGCAGGCCTTTTTCCTCCCTCTGCTTTTTACCGCCTCTTCTTCATGTTTCTTCTTAATTTCGTTATCGAATTCCTGCGTTATTTTAAGCTTAATTAGTTTAATCCTTTTTAGGTAAGACAAACAATATCGTTTTCCCTATACGTAATGCAAAATATTAGTTTAATTTAATTGATAATGAAGAGATAGATGGCGCCTCTTCAAAATTAGGTACGTAAAGAGCATTGTTGAATTTTGAAATATCATCACCAAGTATGTTTTGAGAGTTTAGATTGGGATTTAAAGGCGATTTAGCTAAATATTCCTTTAACAACAGATCGATACCATAAGCTTATTTATCAGATAATTATGGACACTTTTATAATAAGGGATACTATTGAATAATACAACTTACAAATACTAGTTACATGAGACGTGTATACATGTTTCAATAAATTTTTCATATCAATTAGTAGTATTTTTTTTTGGTAGTTTATATAAAGAATAGTATTCTATTTACATGTATATATATATATATATATGAGTATAATGTATATAAAATACAAACCTCCTTCGTTCTTAAACTTGTTTCGTACGACATAGAGAATGCTGAGTAAAATTTTCGGAAGACGTTCAAAAACAGCAGTTTTTCCCTTACGGTGTTCGCACCTGATGGGAAAAAAAATCAAACTATTCGAACGCGTACGTACGTTATCAGAGAATGTATATACAGATATGCAAAAGATATCAAAAACTTATATGGGCCTCGTATATATACGCAGCTCGTAAAAAACCGACCGGGAGATCAATACATTCTATTTGATAAGAAATATGCACACCTTTATACATGCACGAGGCCTTTGTATACGCGGCTTGTATTGAACAGTATGAGCAGAATCTGACGAACGTATAAGCCTATACGTAACAGGTCATGCATGCTGTTACATGCTGACTGTTCATTATACCGTTCAACTTCTTACACACGCAGGCCTAGCGGCCGCGGAATCGCGTGCAATCGATTATTGATCAGCCAAATGGGCCCCTGCGAAAGGAGAGAGAAGAAGAAGAAACTTGAGGAACGTAGTATAAAAGCTTGCAGAAAAACATGGAGAAAAATAGAAGGAAGTGGGTAAAAAAGAGAAAGAAAAAGAACGAAGTAGGAGGGATGAAACAAAAAAACAAGACAGGACTCGTATATATTTTTTTTAGGAAAATTTGCGATGGAGCCTATAGGCCTATTTTTTGCGAATGACGTGCGTGCCGTCAATGTGACGTCTCATCAGTAACGCCTGGTCTGCGCACACCAATCGATTGCTGAGCCTGCATATATGCGCCAATCAATAGGCCTCGGCTACGTGCATACGCATTATCATCCTTTCTGCAATATACTGCAATAGTTCCGGACTTTGATTTGGAACAGCGGTAGTTTTATACGTAGTGTTTTTTTTCGTCGAATTGATTCTCCCATAAAAGCCATTAGCGAAGTTGGTGTGTGCATTGTTAAAATACAGAAATTAACTGTAGAATTTTTCCCTTTCCCTTTTTTTACTCTTAAATACAATCTTTTTTCTGATATTTCGTACATTATTCCCATAAAGTACATGTATAATACAGCATAATATGCGCAAACATACTTATATATTATTACTATTTATAGCTAGCTATATACATATTTGTATATTAAATAAGAACATATATATTATTATGACTAAATTAGAAGGAATGCACGTTTCCTAGACAATATACCTTAGTGAAGCCTCTTTCGTAACGTTTAGGAGGAACTTTAATACAAATATTTATCAGATTTAAAAAAAAATAAGCACAACGACAAGAGTGTCGTAATCCAGTTGTTTTTTCCAAGTAGATAATAGAATTAGGCAAGTTGGCGTGTGATTTGTGGAAATAAAATACATCAACGTTACTGTTGTATATATTTATATAAATATATATGTAAATATATATGTATATTTTATACCATGCATATAGTTCGGTATAAACACTAAAAGCGACTATGTTCGAAAAGCGATCATTTTTCTGGTACTTTTTCTGTTTTTACCCGATTAATTCGGTTAGTTACCAGAATAAATAAACGTAAATAAACGTAAGTACATAGTAATAATTATATTCTTCTTTTCTAATATAATTATCTTGTGATGAAATTATAATGTACTTGGGATAAAGAATAGGCCTATGAAGCTGCCGCAGCATACAAGGAGAAAGGGAAGAAGGAAGAAAAGAGAGAAAAAAGGATGTTGACAGTGAAAGAAAGACAAGCGTACAAGCAGATATACAGAGGGGATAACACGGAAAAAGAGGGAGAGAGATAGGTAAAGAGTGGTATAAGAGAGAGAGAGAGAGAGAGAGAGAGAGAGAGTATGTATAAGATAGATAGAAACGTTCATTATTCCTATGTATAGTTCATATAATTATAATATATATATATATATATATATTGTATATATGTATATATTAAGGTATTTTTCATAAAAATACGCACAGGTATGGGAATATGACATATCATATAGATATATATATATTTATATATATTCTGTATATATATATATACACAATTTAATACAGCAAGCACCTAAAAAACATATCTATGATATACTTTATATGTTTATTTATGGATGTAACCTAAAAATGCAAATGTATTGATATGCTTTGGTATGCGTATTAATGACCTACACTATAAAGGTAACTATTAATATAACTATATATATACTGTATATATATGCATGCAGTATTTCTATAATATACATATATTATTATTACGCTGTGTACATTTCATATACTTTATGTTGAAACATAGAATACATATTCATTAAAATATTCATGTATTCATAAATACAATTGTTTATTGTGACTTTGCGAAAGACTATAAAGTTTCGTATCGACTGTATAGATTTAGTAGGGTTTGCGTTTTTTTTCATTTCGTGTTCAATCGATTGGCTAAAAAAAACAATTAACGAAATCTATCGTTTCATTCTGAACTAAAAAAACGTATAGAAACACAGTGAAAGACCGTAGAATGCGTTTAGCTTTGTAGGTTCTTTTTATATAGACAGTATATATATATATAGGTATGTATATATACTGTATGCATATATATATATATATATATATATATATATATATGTATAGAAAAGCGCATAGAGAGACAGGAAGAGAAGCATATAGTATATTTTTTTCTTCATTGATCTCATTAAGAAGTTTATAAGCTGGATGTGTTTATTAGAACTATTGTTGTTGTCATTTAGCTAACATTTTTTTACCTAAACTAAAAATTCTAATTACTTTAGCAATTTTCGTATATAAAAAATGACTAAAAAACATCAAATCTGCTACTTTAAGTCTAGTATTCTATTGTTGTTTTTACACACAGTTCTTATATATATATTAGTATATATTCATATTTATAAACTTCGTTATATTCTACATCTGATTTTCAATGTCTTTTATGTCTTTATCTTTTAATTGATTGGTAGCTCTAAAAAGAGCCAGAAGGAAAGAAACAATTAAGATATTCATACATCTACTCTTTAAGATTTCTCGATTGTTTTATTAATAATATAGTTATTATTTTTATCAATTAATAAGAACGTGACCGATCTGTTTGTAGCTCATCTTATGTTACTTTTCGAGCTTCTTTTTATTAAAAAAAAATAGACAAAAAAGATAAATTTAGAAAAATTACTTTATGTAAATTGCAACGTTCAAATGATAAAATTGCGGTTGTGATCATATCCTTTAGAGTATATTGTGTGGTGAACTGCAAAAGGGCTCTCTCTACCTCTCTCAGTCAGCTTTTCCCCCCCGCTCTCCCCCCCACCCCCCTCGCTCATACCACTTTCTCTCTCTTTTGCATATATTTATCGATACACGTTTACAGCTTTTGCTTTACATTGTAGTTTCTCTCTATTTTTTCTCTCATACAGTTTTTGCGTGCTTAGAACAATAAATAAGCATCGTTCAAGATTATTGAATAGCTTGTTGTTTTTAAATATACAATGTGATATTCACCTTGTGTATAGAAAAAACATACCTGGGGCATTAAAAATGAATATTCAGTATATAAGCAAAAAAAACAAATCCAACTGCGATGACATGGTATTTACAAATCGTTTGAGAAAATGGAACGTTAGGAGTCGAACGGCGACTTCGCTAAAGGGACAACAAGAGATGGCCAAATTGAAGAAAAGAGACTTTTGTGTGTATACAAACTCTCAGTATATATTTACTGTATATGCATATAGTGTACTGCATAATAAATAAATATGTACTCTCTATATTGTGTATTGTATGGATTCGATGTGTAGTATATAAATATACTCTTAATGCCGTATTATACATACAGGGATGTTGAAGACGGAAAGTTCAGGGAAGGAAGAAAACGCTACCGACAATTTTAATTACTGCAGAAAGCTCGCGTGTGTACGCGTAATCGAAAACGAGAAGTGCGTCATCGAAAATGCATATAGAAAAGGCTTAAAATATCCCAAAGATTATTAAACAGCATTAGGAGATTCCTATAAAACGTCACTTTCTGATAATAGATCGATGGTAGATATTCATTAATACTCCAACTAAAAAAAGTATTGTTTAACATTTCGCCAAAAAAAAAATTCCGATACGAAGCGTTTATCGCATAGGCCTAGCCGAGTAGACGCTCTGAATCTCAATTGTATAGATGCGTGCAAAAATCGATCGCCGGCCTGCATTCGTTCGTAACAGCGCAACTGCACTATACGTGTAGAGGATAGACGCCATAAAAATAGACGCCGCCGCTTTCTTCTTTCTCCCTCTTTCCTCCCACCCTCACTCTCACTCACTGTCCACAAATATATCTCTGTCTATTGCTATATCTGTTTCTATCCTTCTGTTTACTTCTCTATTCTCTATTACTTTAAAACTTATATATAGTATATAGAGATATGTAGTGCACATATATCTGGAAATATTTATATATATACTAATATATATATCTATATATATATATATATTTTGAATATTTTTATTCTATATAAATATCTATATGTATATAGATAGATATATTATTTATATATGTATATCATATTATATATACGGCATACTGTATAAGAATCTTAAGAAGAAAATATACATACATACAAACTGTATATACTATATATGGTATATTCTACAAATGGCATATATATACATATATAGAAATATGCTATGTACATTTCTCAACAACCTTTCAATATATATATATATATATATGCACACAATATATTTTTTAAATATAAGGTACACTACTCTGTCCCTTCTTTCTTTTTTTCGCTTTCTTCTGTTCGAATTTCTCTGAAGGCCTAGAGGGGTGTTCGAAAAAAAGCGAAAAAATCTCTGCCAGGCGTTTACTCATTCCTGCGTATGGAGCTTAGAGCGTTAAAGAAAGCGTCCATAAATATACATATGTATATATAGATATATATATGTATATGTATAAATATGTATATATATATATATAAATATAAATAAATGTATACATACACAGATACCGTGTGTGCGAGTGCCACATTTACTTTATAAATAGCAACAACAGGAAAAATAGCGACTGACACAGAATAGAAAAAAAAAGAAAAAATTCTTTCAAATAAAAGAAAGAAAAAAAGCGACTAACCTAAAACATCTCACATGACGGTAATTTCCTTCTTCAGAACAAGCGACGAAGCGTCTGGCCAAAGGCGTTACACGCTACTGCAAAAGTGTGTATATAAAAGTGTATATATGCGCGCGCAACTCCGTCATGCATTGGAATGTCGTCTGGTGGCCTACAGAGCGAAAGCTCTCGCGTCCTGCATACGTTGTAGAGCGTTGTATACACGCTCTTCAATATAGAATTCGCCCCGACCTTTTTTTCTCTTTTCTCTACAACCTTTCAATTTAGTCTATTCACGTTCGCTCACCTCTTGGATGGCCGACAGGTATCTTTTGGAATTCTGAAATGCCGTCCATTCCGACGCTCAAACCTTTTTGTACGCATACAATTCTATTCGTGCGCAGCCTTCTACAAATATACATATACGAATACGTATTGGACAAAGTTTATTTCTTTTGTTTCTGTCCCTTTTTATGTATTTTTTACGCGTTCTTTCGCCCCCTTTATCAAACGAAACGTAGTATTTTATTGCTTATATTTATAAGGGAAAAATTCTTTATCGCCCATTCAGGTGCATAGTTTTGTTCCTTTTACATTACAGTTAGTAAGGTGTTTTAATTATACGTTAGTTGTAATTAATAGACCCATAAATATGTTCAGAGGTGGTCGTCATAGGCCATAAGGGATGTCGTTCGAAATAAAGTGGACGCCATCTGACGGTTAAAGTCTATAGCTTTTATAAGTGTGTAAAATTATAATAATTAAATCCTGTATTAATATTTAACAACAAGAATATTTATAGAACAGAGATCAATAATAGTATTTAATGCAATTCTTTCTACTTAAATGGTTAAATTAAGAGAGAGTCGAATGGGGGAGGAATTTTCTTTAAATATCGTAAATGGATACCTCTTCCAATTTATTGGCGATACTTAGCAGTATTCCAAAGGAATTGGAAGAGGCGTTTAACAAATGACATGAAGATCCATTCTATTATATAAATACAATTGGAAAAGGAGACGAAGCTATAAATGTATATAATGATTACAATTAATAAATCCAGATGGTTTCGGATGAATATCTCCCTTATAATCCATTAGTGTGACACCATAAATCATATATACTATTACGCACTGTGACAAAACAACGAAACTAATAAGATTTAATTACAAGTTTTAGTTTTACGGTACATAGCTATTAGGTACGGAGGAGAAAGAGAAGAAGAGATTTAGTGTGTATCGGATAATATTCATATATTTCCTCTACAAGCCTATTCTACACTACACGTTTATCATCATAATATATTTTGTAGATATATATTTATATAAGATATGCTATATATATGTGCATATATACTGTATATATATATAAATATACAAGTACATATATATATAGTATATTTGTTCACACATATACACATATTCTCATAAAGAGTATTCATCAGAAATGGTATAGTTTATATATATAGAATATGCACTGACTGATATTTATCGTACAGTCTTTAAACGGTTATTCTATTAACTTCTGGATTGATTATGTAAGAGATTAACAAGCGACAGGCCAATTCCATCAATGTCGATTAACCATGATTTCAGCGAATATAGTGAATTTTGATATTGCTTTTATTGTCCTTTAAGGCTATATAATATACAATTACGCAATAAGATATACTCTAGAAATCTCGTTTACTTAAATCCTCTTCGATTTGTTCAAATAAACAGTTGCAATTCTTATCAATTTAGTAGATTTTAATATATCCGCAAGCAAATAAGATTAAATACTTACATGATAATAATTATATAGAATATACAGTATATAGTATATAAAGTACAATACGAACGTTAACATACCAAACAATAGTAAAAACATATATTTTCATTATTATTATTATCACATTTATACTTGTACCATACACAACAGATATACTATACAAACATGTTTATCTCTTTTATCTAATTACTTTATAAGTATTACATCATTCACATGATTAATGTTCATATAGTAGATAGTAGAAACCAGCATTCTTTTTTATCTAATGAAACACTCTATCGATAAATGAAATTGAAATAAAGTAAATATATTTGTATACTATTTTATTTATTATGTAAACGTTATTATGAAAAATCTGCTTAATTATATAAATATATTAAAATATCGCTGCTAAAAAATATTGTATTACTTATTTATGAAATAAATAAGCTTTTTATTATATAAATCGTTAGGGGATTTGATTTTTATTATTGCTAAATTATTTATAATAATAAAAGCTATATTGTCGAGTGTATTCAATTACTTATCCATGTATTTAATTTCATTTAAATTTCATATAATGAATAATCGAGTGTTACACGTTCTTCCTCTGATATTACGCTGTAATCTTCTTCAATTTCCTCTTCGTAATTTCCTTTTCCTTCTTGGCCCTTCAAAATATCAAACGAATATATAAGCATTTTATTACTAAATATTATTGAGCATAAATAATACATATTACATACATTATTAGAAGTGGACAAATGCTGGTAACAACCCTGCTTATATCGTATTATATCCCCCCATAACATATTCCTATAAATCAGAAAAGTAGTATAGATCATATTAGTCTAAAAAGAAATGATAAATAAAACAAACGTATTGCATTTATTACAATCTCCTTTTGTCGGAATCAATTGACTACCCAACTGAAATTCTTGTGAGAGAAAGGATTCAGCCAGGCATATAGTATGATATTTTGTTGAACATGTCGAATTTATGCATTGAACAAAGCTTTTCTAAATAAAAAAACATAAAAAAGTAATTTACAAATATTTCAATATCTATTCTTCTTCTGCCTTTACCTCATCTAATTCTTTTTGGCAGATAAAACAGTTTTCGCCAATAAATCTGTTACTATTTGTCTGACATTTCTCATTTTTCTTATTCAAAAGCCTCACCAGTCCATAACAAATAGACATATGCAAAGGAGGTTGTAAAAAGGCGTCAAATTCTATACACTCTTCTTGCTTTAGCCATCTAATTGTGAGGGGTAATCTCCTCCAAGGTTCTGTTCTTAGCATATGAGAAACGATAAAAAACTGTTTATGCAAAGCCGATTTATGACGTTTCTTTAAAGGAACACCACGGAGGTGACGGGATTTATCTGGATGCTGCCAAGCCCATTCGAACTATTCCCAAATAGCATATTTAGTATAAAAAATACTAGCAAATTGTTAAAGCGAGAACTTACTCGTAAAGCGGAAATTTTATTAGGAAATCCATGAATTATCAAGACCATATCCCTTTTTCCATAAATGAGAACAACATATTACATATTAGTAGGGTAAAAGACGGAAAAATATAAATAATAAAACATTTATTAAATATATACCAAGGCCCCCTACCACTTGTCTTCCATGCTCCTCCAGATTTTATTCCAGTATTGTGTTGGTGTATTCTCCTATTAGGATTTACAGTAAATCCTATATATGTTCTTCCTTTAAATTTAGGATTCTTATTCACTAAGAGATAACATCCATAGAACATTTGAATTTCTTCCGCCATTATTTTCCTGGTACTGCAACGATCTGTAATGCATATCAATGCTGACATCTATAGCTGTACAATAACATGTCATACTGTACAAATTTGGATAAGATAGCCTTTTCTCCTCAAATACAATTTACTTATGTCATCCGCTCTTTTTTCAAGTACACTATTATATAAAACACTTGTATAAGAGGAGATTTTTTTATAAAAAAAATTGGCTAACTATCCTCTATAACTCTTTTATATTGCTTATTTAACGATTGAAGGGATGCAAAGTCTTGGGAATCTTCTTGAGTCAATATTAAACAAACTAAGGAATGTTTGACTAGTAAACAAACAAGAAGTAGCTAATTTACACAAATTTATTCATGTAGAATGGAAATCAATATTTGAGAGAGTTTTAATAATCTTGGCACTCAGGAGAAGGATGCTTATTGATGTAAAGAATATAAAATGGATATAATTTTCTATTAGTTCATTTGCATATTTTATTGAAGTGTATTATTGATTTATTTAATGCAAAAAGAAAATTTTTCCCTTTTGATAAATAATCAATATATAGAGAGTGTAAAGTAGTGTTCATAGTTTTCACGTATGAAGTTAAATAATATATTAAATAGGATAAATCACTTATTGGCGTTTCAACACTTAATTAAATTGAATTAATAAAAAGTAAAGATAATTCAAGTAATAATCATAATAAGAAACAGCATATGTTGGGTATATTGTATTAAATGTATTTATGCTATATGTATACAGTATATATGTTTTATCTATACATTAGGCCTATTGATTAAGGAAGTGATAGGGAAATTTACTGCTCTTTGGGGCTAATGTATCATTTTTATGATTAATAAATATTTTTTATAACCCTAGATCCCTCATTAAAATACCCACAATCAATTCTAATTGATACATAAGCTTTATTTTATATTCGTCCTCTCTATGTATTCTCATAAATTCTAATATTTCTAAAGGAAAGATCGCTACTAGCACCGTTCATATACGAATACATGAACAATATTTTTTAAGCCGGGATAGCTCAGTTGGGAGAGCGTTAGACTGAAGATCTAAAGGTCCCTGGTTCGATCCCGGGTCCCGGCGGCTTTTTTTGTAAAATTTTCTCTAATTTTTTTCTTTATTGCTTATACTTTTGAAATTATAGTATATAATTAGGTTAACAACAAATTTTTAAAGAATGTTTCCAATAGAACATTCTGACGGTCAAGGACACATAATTAGTTTTGACATTAAATGATATTCATTTTGATATTTTAGAAACATTTTCGAAAGCGTTTTCGTTTTTAGTTATCATGAGAAGGGAAGATTACTTGGAAGAAGTTTGAATTTTTTTCGGAAATCGAGAGATTAGTAGAAAGTAAAGCATACGTACATGTGGGGAATTTTATTTGATGTTCTCACGATCGGAAGGTAATCAGCGTAAAATTTCACATTCGATGGAATTTCATCTCTTGAGAATAAGTTATAAAAACATACCGTCACAAATATAAGGTATTTAGGTAAATGACCCGAAATCGAGTAGATATTACCTACCTTTAACGACTACTCTTCAGAGCCGGTATATTATTAAATAGCTATTGATTTTTTTATTCAATAAATATCTAAAGGTCTATTTAATTTATAAATCAATTTTTTATTATATAAAAACTATCAAGTTATTTGGAAAATTTCCTGAAATATCCAAATATAATTCAAAGGATAAAATAAAAGACGCGCATATTACAAATAGAGATAGATAAATGTATTTCCGCTTCCGCTAATGTAATTTTAAGACTAGAGAGGGAGTCACATACGCGGAAATGTAAGAAAAACAACTGAAAAAGAGATAGCAGACTCAGTTTCCTTTTTTCTTCAATTTTTTGCATTATAAATTAAAATTATAAGAGATAAGTTACCTAAACTGTTTATTATAATAAATTAGATGATTGTCGTAGTTGACGACAAGTAAATCCGTCCTAGAGTAAGTCGAAGTAATTCAAAAGTCATTGTGACGCTTTACTTTTGAATAATCTTGTTCAAACTGTACAGAATATAAGTTATACATTATACATAAGTGTTTTTATTAAATATTTTCGTATTTTTCCTTAATTGATGCTGTAAGCTATAATATTTAGGATTTATAAGGATTTACATCTATTTCTTTCCTCTGTCTCTAATCGTTTAAAATTTGGAAGTTTTGTTAAATTATCTCTCATCCTATAACGTCCAAGCTGTAAAATAATTATATTAAATCTAGACTACGTATTGATCAACTCAGAAATACGATTAATCTCGGTTCAAGAAGATAGTTTAGTTTTAACGCCCACGTTAAGAAAGTTTTCACGATAGAGAAGACGACAGGAAAAGGTAAATAGGTCTTTTAGAGTATCTAGTCTAGTCTCCTACATTTACTTTCATTCTTAGCTTTTATAAACGCACGTGGTCTGTCTTTCGGAGAAAATTCCTCTATAATTTATAATACTACATCCTTCAGAAAATCTTTAAAAGAAAATTATGTTCTTGTATTCGAGGTTCTACCAACTGTAAGATAAACCATCTGAGCTGTCAAGAATGAATTTAGTTTCATCAAGCTTGAAAACTGTAATGTTTTACAGCAGATTCTTCTATTTAGCTCAAATTACCTGAAAATCAGATGAGATGTGACTTTTAGTCATCTACGTTTGTTTAATGATTTCGTTTTAAAAGTACTTCCAAGTATGCTAACCGTTTTAGTTAATATTTACTTATTTCTTGCGAATTATGCAAAAATTTTCATTCCTTAGAGCTTCTTTTACCTTTTAGAGTTTGCAATGATTTATTCAAAACATGTTAGCATAATTACTAGTGAAACTGCAATCTATCTGTCTAGACAGAGTAGATAGACCCTACAAAACTAAAGAATTTTCAATTTGTTTAAAGATTACCTTAAACAGTGACCTATCATAATTGTTTTATTAATTATTTATTGGTATTGTAAATCTAAGTTTTAATGATATAAATTTAATATCTGGGGTTTTTTTTATATAAGAACTAGAGGGCGTGTATGCAAATACTTCCATTTATTTCTTTTTATATGGAAGGAAATATTTTGAACCGGATTATTAAAAAGTATATAAGTGTCACAAAAAATTTTTTAAAATATAGTAGCTTTATCGTTTATAATGGATGATCATTACATAATCATTTTGTCTATCTAATAGAGGAAGATACATTTACTACACGGAACTTTAATGTATCCACAATTTTTTCCTCATAATAAATACGTATATATGTATGGATATAGAAAATCATATAAAATAAAGATAAATGACTTTTATAAGTTTGAAAATGAAATTGTTATATAATTGATCTTTTAATTTTTCATTGAAAAAAGAAATCAAATAGAGCCAATATATTCGTTTGTTACTTTTTCTTTCTTTCGTTTGTTCTCTTCAATTTTGCTGTCAATGAAAATAAAAAAGAAATGAGATAAATGGAAAGAAAAAGGCAATAATTAATTAATCATATTTAATAAATATATGTTTATACCACTAAATCGTGTTTCTTGGCCATCTCTCTTAATTTCCTCACAGCGAATGCCTGTCAACAAAATGGTATAAGTATTAATGATGTATGTTCTATTTTTTTTCTTCTTTTCGTACTCTTCCTTATCTCGTCATTTTTTATTTATTTCTTTACGTACCGTTCGTTTTCCGTATGAAGGCAAGTAACCACCACCAATTTCGTCTAAAGCTCTTTTTCCGTTATACGGTACAAATCCTCCGCCAATCCCTTCTAAATCTCGTAACCCAAATGGAACATATCCTCCACCAATTTCATTCAGATCTCTCTACGGAATTAAATATTAAAATTACCTTTAAAGTCTTTTCTATTCTCCTTAAAGACTAATGTATAAATGATGATTATTTAACCTTCTTTTATAATGGAAATTCTTGGTATTTGTAGCGTTAACGATTAAGATATTTAAATTAGACATAAATTTTTGTATAATTAGTGAATTCTATAAAGAACAAGAACTTGCAAAGACTACTAGAAGATTAAAATTGAACGTAAAAGATTTGAACATAAAAATATTATACAATAACAATTTGATAAATAAAGAAAATAGCGCTAAGAGAAGATAAATTGATGTACCAGCATTGTGATAGCTGATAATTACTTGAAAACATTTATTTCCACTATTATAGCTACTAAAGATACAGCTAAATCCATTTATATATATATATAGATATAGATATACTGTATATACATTATATATATATATATATATATATATATATATGTAATAGAAAGACGTTGTTTATATAACTATGTGTAGAGATATAAGTGAAAATTAGTACTTTATTAAAATATTTTAGACATTTTATTGTTTATTTCTATTAAAAATTATTTTAAATAAGGCAAGAAGAGTAAAAGAAATGAATCTTTTTTATTTATCTATTAGAGTATTAAGATTACTCTTCTATTAACTTAGCAATTTCTATATATATTTGAGTAATAGTGATAGAAAAAGCCAAAAATTACGAAGATGAGATTTGTTTCGTTTGTTCATTAGGAATACTCAAATTATTTAATTGCACTCGCATATAAAATATATATATATATATATTTATATATTTTGCACAAGTAATCTAAATGATGACTACTTTCATCACCCTTCTCAGCAAGGAGGAGAAGTAGCAAAAGAAATAGTCACGTTCAATATCACTTCATATGTAATCAAGTCACAATATGAAAAATCTTAACAGTTTGCAACCTGAATAAAGGTTGTTGCTGATGAGGCAACGTCATATTCTATACAATAATTTCAATAGAATGACTTTTATATATATTTTAGAAAAAAGTCTTAAAAAATTCATTTACTTTTAAAGGTTTTTTTATTATTTAAAAAGGAAAAACTGAAGAAAAAGTAAAAAAATCTTGGAAATGTTTACAGCAAGGAAATTGATAAAAAGAAGAGAAGAAAGATAAAACGTCTCTCTTGCTTTTTTCTTTTTTTTAAAAATGTTTGTTGAAACAATTCTTCAGTCATTTTTTTGATTATTAATAAATCATATATACTTTTATAACTACTAATTAGTATTACTTCAAAAGAAGCCTATAATAAGTTTACAGGTAATATTTTACCAACTCTAACTTTAAAATTTACAGTATACTGCAATAGAAAGGAGATATTTAATTAAGTATAATTAACTTACTTTAACTTTAGCTTTTGAATTTTCGGCACAGTGAACTGCTGCCAGGGCAAAGAGAACGATGAGGCAAACGGCTTTACTCATGATTATTTTTCCAATACGACACCGAGACATCAACTGACGAAAGGCAGGCTTTATAATAATATGCTAATCTAATTATCATTTTCAAGTACCTCATTTGTTATCCAAAACTGCTACGGTTATTTGTTTGATAAGAGTAAAGCGTGTAATTAGTGTAACGTATACAAACAATAGCTTATGCCAATTTTTTTTACATTGTACCAATTCAGACCGATTAAAAACGATGAATGTCGGAAAATTTCCAGTCTGATAGAGAATCTTTTCATGGATATAAATTTCGTCTGGGATAAAGAGACTGCTATCAATTAGATGTCTGTTTCGGTTACATAAATGGTTTGTTTCTTGAACTATTAAATTAAAAATGTTTAACTAAAGACAATAAGTATTTCTTTCTCCTTATAGTTCAAAAATAGAATTTATTCTAATTAACTAATTTATCATGTAATCAGTTTAATTCTTGGGAATACTATGTATTATTTCTTTTTTATCAGTCCAAGTAGGCGGATTGTTAAATAACGTATTTGACAAAATTCTTACCAATGTCTTCATTAATTTTACTTAAATATACAGACTCTTAAGTTCTTAGAATAGTAAAGAGATATAACAATTGATGGAAAAACCGAGACCTATTGTTATATGATGTATCCTTTGAGTAGAAAGCCAGATTAAAGTCTCTCTCGAGTTGAAATTGCTATTGAATTTCTCATTTATAAACATGAATATAAAAGTACCATAAGCAATTTTTTTTCTCTTATTGTCCTTCTCTTCCACGCAATACAATTTCTCATAATTTATCATACATTTCTTTCTTAAACAATATTAACCTTTTAGCGTCTAATCAACTACTTTGAATTTCAATGTGTCTATTTATGGCTTTTCAATGTGTACTTTAGAAATATGACAACTTACTCTAGAATATAAATACGAGATTATTCTCAAATTTCAACAGTAACTTATGGACCGAGAGAATTTGATTTTTCCTCAACTTCAAACCTTACCTTTAATTGATTATTACATAGAAAATATAGGTTTGTTTCTTCATATTCAATAATTGTCTTTATGTAATAACGATGTCAGAAGAATTTTTGAGTGTTGTTTTTATTGTTAGTTGTTGTTTTTCCTAATTTATTAATACATCTTCAAAGGGAAGGTATTATTTCTAAGAGTAGGGAAAAAAAAACTGCTTAAGAATTTTTCTCACTTTAACAACGTTTAATCGCTGCTACAGAATATACTTTGGCCTCCTTTTTTCCCTTATTAAAAATATTCCAAGTAGTATTCTTTATTATTGTTGTCGTTTTAAAAAAATAAGAAATTTCTTCCTATTTTCGTAAATTATATAGATATATTTAATTATGTAATTATATTACATTCTAATTAAATAGTTTTTCAAGTTATCGTATTAAAGGTATTTAACTTTCCATTTTTTTGCAATAAAAACTAATTAATTAGTATTTTATTATTTTTGAATTAGAATTATTAAATTAAAGATGTTTAATTTACATTTTAAATAAAGTTACAAAGTTCTCCTCATGGAAATTCTTTTATTTCAACGAAATAGATCATATAATAAGAATAAAAATTATATTAATGTTCACAGATGGCGCTGTTAAACATTTTTTTATGCAACACGTAGTCTTTCTCTTCTTGTTTAATATATGATATAATTAAAGGAATAGAAAACAAGACATCGGAATTAAAGAGATGGAAATAATAGTAGAGGTGATAAAATTGAAGCAGATTGTAAAAAGATCACTTTCGTTTCCTTAATTGTTCTGTCCTTTTTAGTCGCTTTTTTTAAACATATATATTATGAGATGAAATAATTAATGACCTAATTTTTTACTAGGAAATCATAATATTCGTTCTTTTACTTCTTAAGATTAAATGATGTATATACAAGTTTAGCAAGACTAGAGCATAGTGAGCAAATTCTTCAGAGTAATATTCCTTTTCCTTTTTCTTTATTATCTCTTAAAGCATTTAATTATCAATTAAACTACTGAACGCTGATTATTCATAGGCGGTTTGCAACACGTTAGATTACTCGTTGTCCTAACAAAATTGTCGAAGCACATACAGAAGGCTGAACCTAGGAAGAAACAAGCTCCACCCCATCCTAAACCATAACCGAAGCCATACGTCTTTATCAACAGCTTCTTTTGCATATTAATAGCTACTGGATAGACAATTACTGCTACTATCGTTGCTAAAGCTGTAGAAAAAAAAACAACAAAGAATATATTAATAATTTGATAGTATTTTAAAATTGACTAAACTATAGTATAGAGATGGCGCCTCAATACACGGTTTGACAACTATCTATCAAAAATAGACTTCTCTATATATAGAAACCCTTTGAGGTTATATTCATAAGTATTATTACTCTCAAACGAAAGATGTATTAAACGTTTAACCATGTATTAAAATCCTGTTTTCTGTGATGATTTCTTCTTTTAATTTTATACCTTAACATGATTATGTATATTCATTAGAACATACATTTTCTTGTTAAGAAATGTAAAAAAAAACCCTTTAAAAAAAAGATAGAAAAATGTTTTTTGCTAAATATAGTAAGATGAAGAGATTTTATGATTGATGAATTTGAACTGTATAAAATCTTATGAGTAATATAATATGATTTATAGTAATATCCTCTTTCTTTCTTTCTTTGTTTTTTATATATTTTTTTACACTTTTATCCTTTTTTTTAACAACAGTATTTTTATTTACTATAAGCAAATTATAAGTTACTTCTTTTTTTTTAAAAAAACAACAAGATTTAGTTTGTTGATTATTCAAAGAAACACGAAAATTATTATGAATATTTATTATTTAATGTATAGGCCTAGGTCATTTATATATTGTATAAATAGTGTATTATTTTTCGAAGAATTTTTGTTTCCAAACTCTCTTTTATCGTAATAAAAAAAAATTTCAGAAAAGTTTGTCAGATAATAAACCAAAAGCCTAATCAAGCGTAATAATAGGAAATGACTGTTAAAAGAAACGATTAGTTATTTATCGATTTTTCTCTCTTTTTCTCATTGTCTTTTCCATTTTGAAACACGTACCTTTTGAAGAGGTGACTAAAGATTTGGATGCAAATATGTATTAAGCTTGACTGAAAATTAATTTGCTGTATGTGTACGGAAAATATAGAAATGCACTCAACTACATAACTGTGAACGCATGTATGAGTATATATATATATGTATATATATATGAGCATACAGTATACTGTGTGTTTTTTTTTGTTGTTGCCGTGTTTCTATAATTCAGCACTTAGAAAATATCTACTTATATAGTATGATGTAGAAGAACTGTCAAGTCCTTGCAAAATAATATTATACACCTAGATTATACTAAAACAATTTCAAAGGTTTAAAAATAAATTTACAGATTAACGAACCGCGCCTCCGACATAATTAAACTTTTATTTCTTCTCTGTGGCAGAAAATGAATTCTCTCTTATGAACGAAACTTTAAGGCTAAACAGCGGTGGATTTGAAAGAAAGGGAACATTGAGAGAAAGACAAATAAGACATAAAAGAATGAGAGAATAAGAGAATGATAGAACAAGAAAGAAAGGAAAAGGAGAAGAGAGTATGTACATATCACACCTAATGAACTTATAAGGATTCTTTTCCAGTCGATTAAAAGTTGAATAGGCCTTTATACTTACCACAGACAAAAAATATTTCACCAGCTGAATGAAAGTAGTATATCTTTTTGGATAAATGTAAACTGCAAACGCCACAAAGCGCCAATATAGTAGCCAAAAATCCGAAGGCAACAGAGAAAATAAGCAGGCCGATAACGCCTTTCTGCCAATCTGTAATCGGAAAAAGCAAAAAAATAAAAGTGTTTCGCCAAGCAGAGCGACATTTCGAAGAAAAGGGATATAGACAAGGCAATAGAAAGGGAAAATTATCTCCTCCCCTTCCTTTTCCTATATTCTTTTCTCCCCTCCCGTCGTCCCTGCTCCCTTTCTCTTTTGTCCCAATCCACCAAGTTACGTTGATCAAATTTTTACTCAACGAATAGGCAAAAAATGGAATAAAGAAAAAGAAAAAAACTAGTCAGCCTCTCCAGTACTCGAAAAAAAACTACTGTACCTTATATTCTATAAGATTACAAACGCAATTTGTCCCATTTGCATTCGACGTTTATACGAATAGAATTGTGCTCCCCTTTCTATCCCCCTTTTCTCCGTCTCTTACTGTTTCTTTTGCCTCGGCTATCATTCTTCGCACTCTCTTTCCCCACCCCCCCGCTTCCCTCATTCTCTATTCCCTTACTCTTTCTGCAATCCTTAACCCTAACTTATTACATCTATTAAAGCTGTATATAGGTTATTTTAACTAATTTTCCTTATTTACTCCTAACGACTATGAAAATAGGATGATATATATGTAATATTTATCATTTTCTCCCCAAACTCAGATTACAAGGTTTCTTCATCGTTAAAAATAGAATTCAATCAAGTCTCTACTATCTGCTATAAAAATATCCTCTATAGTTTATCATTAATATACTATTTAACACTAAAAATTGTTACCGGAAATTTCAATGCGTCATTGACAAGTAAAAAATTTAATTTATATACGAATCAGTATTTCATTTAAAAAGAAGCCTAAACGATAAGGTTTGCATTAAATTAGAAAAAGGAAAACGCTTTAGACCAAATCAAGAATGTAGCGTTTCTATTTAAACAAATTTATTCTATATTTACCTAGTCATTTATGAAAAATGGCTTCTGTTTACCAGCTTAATCTCTTTGTGGAAGGGTCTAATTTTTTAGTAATATTTCCTGATTGTACAACGCTCATTAGTTATAACTAAGATGTATTTACAACTCCTTTTAGATAAACTGGATTATATAAGAGAAGAGAAATGTTTATGTTTCCCTTTATATTTCGTGTTTTGATAATAAATCAGACCAAAGTCATATTTTTTATGGAAAGCGTTTCTTTCGTATCTTCTTTATACTAACTACATTGAATAGATTTGGAGAAAACTGGAATAAGATTTAGACTGTTGCATTGAAAATATATCTATCAAACTTTTAAATACATAGAGTATTAATAATTTTTGATTCGTAAGGGATAGAAGACTGTGAGTTGCTGTCTATTAATAATTGCCTTTCTTCCTTCTATGATTGATAGAAAAGTTATGCCTTATAATAAGATAGGGTCTTTTATAGAATTTAATTTATAAAAGTACTTTCAAGTTATTTAACGATCTTAACGTTTGAATGAAATAAAAATTCCCTGTAAATCTTATAAACATATACGAAAATATTGTCCCTACAAGTTTTAGAATGCGGGCAAATCTTCGATAACTGCAATATCGTGGCATTTTCGAAGCAATCCTCCCATAGACCCACGTTGACTCCTGTATTAAATAGAGAAAAATGCGGGAAAGGTTTACGAACTGTGAATCTTGAAGAAGTGATATAATTAGCTGTGTCTATAGTCCTATAAACCAGGCTAATGAGTGTATGCACTGGTCGATAAAGGGACGGTTTCATAAGAGATATTTTATTTTAGTTTTATCTTATTATTTGACGAGCTTTCTCTTTTATCGTCATCACTTAATATTCTCATTATAGAATTTGTCAATCAAATAAAAGTGTTTGTCGTCTCTGAATGGCGAATTAGCTTACAGAAAAGTCGGCCATGTTAGTAGATGCCTTAAATATTTTATATTGTGCCTTATTGAAATGTATAATAGAAAGTAAAAGAATAAACGTAACAAAAGATGACTTATTGCATATAAATTCAGAACAAAGGTCTGTCTATCTATTTTCTAATTATTATAGAGTAATAAATGCCACAGATATGTATAGTAATCTTACTTAAATCTTCCGGATTGTTTCAACAGATGACAAATTGTTTTCAAATGGAAGTAGAATAAAGTAACTGTCTTAACATTTAAAATAAAAAACGTCTTAAAGCGTCACTTTGTTCTTAGTAATTATGAATTTAAAAATTTAAATAGATAAGGGGCGTCGAAAATTATCATCGTTTTGTCTCTTTCTTTGGTTAACAGCTTCCATTCTCTCTATATAAAATATCTCTTTTAACATTTTATTCTACCTTTACAGCAATTAATAAAAATGCTATTGAATACATTAATCTTCTTAAATTAATGAGAAACGCATTATAAAAATTTCATATAAACCCGCGATCTAATTTGTAATAACAAAAGTATTTGGCTATACCGACCCTTTAACCGACGATAATTCAATAAAAAAGGTTATTTTATGCCTTACCGGCTTCTAACTGAGCCCAATAGGTATTTGAAACCGATATAAGGGTCAAACAAATTGCGAAAAAACCACTGAATACTCCTCCTAACCGATACGGCTTCCTTAGATATTTCTCTTCTCTTTGTTCTGCCTCCGAAAATTTCCTCAGGCTGTAAATGTTCTCCGTAGTAGACGGTTTGAACTTGACGAATTGCAACATCGTTCGCAAATAGACGCGAATCGTTTGCATGAATAGTTTCTAAACATGACCTCAGCTGCGTTCAATGAGTTAGTTTATGAAAATTTCATAAGCATCTCTTTTCCATTAGGCTCATTTCCCTTTTGTTGTTTTTTTTTTCAAACAATTGTCGTGGGAAGAGGACGGAGACACCTCAGAGACTTTTTTTTAAAGAAGACAGATATGTCGACAGGATGGGTGGGAGAGCGAGAAGAAGCGTTAGTCAATGAGAAATAGAGACGTAGACCAAACAATGTCGGAGAGATGTAGGAGTAAATAGATAGAAGAATGAGGGCGAGATAGAGATAGACATATAAAATGAGAGGGAGAGCGAGAGATAGAGAGAGGGTGGGGGAAAAAGTTGATCATGTGACTCTGAGATTTCTTCTCAGTCAGTTAGTCACGTGACAGTACGATTTTCGATAACTGGAGAGACGTTGAACACGTATCGACTTACTTTACGTTCAGTTCTTACCTTTTTTACCGAGCGAATTCGTACAGTTGTCTCTTTCAACGGTAGATGAGCATATTTTCCATAGTCCAGCAGTAACATCTCCGTAATTGGTGTCTGAAAAGTGAACACTTATATAAAGATATCGAAGGGCTAAATAAACAATAATCAGTGCTGTCATCTATCGAGTCAACTGTGTATACTGCATTTGCGAGAGGGGTCTAAAGCGAGCAACAAGCCTCTAAATGGAAACAAAGTGAAACGGAATGATACTAATAAACTATTAATAAAGAGACGACCATCTAATTATTCTCTTGGGAAAATGGAATAAAAGCCAAGTAATAAACTGTGAATTCCCCATATATTTTGCCCATTCTATTGTATATAAAGTTTACTGATAGTTGAAGGAATAATCATTAATGGATTAATCGCTCACTCTTTAGTAACAAGTTCTTGCATAGTTAATATTAAATATTTAAATAAGGGATCAAATATTCATAGCCGAGAAACAGAACTGATGAAGCCTCGCATAATTAGTATTGGGTTAGATAGTAAAAATTTCTCTTCCTTTTTTTACAGCAACAGGTTGTTATTCATCAATAACTAAGCATATGTTATATTTTTTTGAAAGTGAAACTCTTTTGGTAAGCTGCACTCTAGAATTCTTTGAATATCATCTAAAAGATAAACGGTCATTAGTTGTAGGACGAAACCTCCTCAATTGGAAATTAATTTATATATTCGTTGTCGTATATATTCTATAATAATATCTAATGGAAAATGTATGACCGATAAAATTCGTTGTCGCTCTTTTAAAGCATATTTTCTTGAAATATTAAATAATATCCATTATTAACATCAGAAAAACAGCTTTAGCAGTTATAAAAATAAGTATAATGTAATAAATTAATAACTTTAATAGTATTGTTTAAATATTATATTCACAGATATAGGATGAAAATTAAATACATAAATAAAAGTTCATACACACACGTATATAGAAAACATATGTAGTTAGTATATTATGTTATATTAGTATGGAATAGAGGCTGAATATATACAATATATTTATATTTACGTATTTAAAGAAAGAGAAAACAACACCTGCCTATGTGCCAAAAAATAACAATAATACATATCTATATAGTAAAATAAAATTTATTATTTAAAAAGTTTTTGTTAAGAAACAATATAAAAAATATAGAGAAAACACTTGAAAAGAAACAAAGTAATGAATATTTAAATATATTTATATTTAGCTTCCTTATTAGCATATAGTAGATAGATAATATAATATTTTCTTCTTTTTATATTCATGTACTTAAAAAGTATAAGATAAAATTTAGAAACGGAGCAGAAAAGTTTCATATTTGTTGGTATTGGCATTGAGATATACAATGAGCCGCTTTTTTCAACCTGCCATATAGGCTTTGGGGTTAAATTACCGTATAAGCTCTTGTCATATATTAAATTGGATATTACGTAAGGAAGGAATGTAAAAATATATAGAATATGATTAGGATAGCTATTTATACTATACGGATAAAGGAATAGCATATCCCTTACATAGCTATATACCTGCTACTACACAGCTTGTATTTATTAAGACTTGAATGCTTCAAATTATTTACTTAAAAATATGGTACATTATAAATTACTGTACATTATAAATAATATACTGTAATATATACAGTATACTATATATTGATCTCTGACATATAATAAAACAAAGCGCATATGCTCTCTACTTAAATGCATCCATTTGATACAACAAAATATGCAAAAGCACTGCATAAATGTTAAAACATAAGCCCACCGTATGTATACCTACTTTTTCTAGTCAAAAGGGACAAAAAAAAACAATATTCATTGATCTTACAATTTTAAATAATTAATAATACCAAAGTTAAATGTTACATACGTTTTTTATTGATAAAAATCATTCTGAATGAAATACCCAAAAATTTGAGGCGTTTTATACAATAGGTTTATAATTAATTAATGAAAGAGAAAGAAAAGGAGGAAAGATAGAGGGGAAGGAGGGGGAGTGGAAAGGATAAGTGCCTACTCAAAGCTGTAATTTTGCAAAAGAAGTTGTTTACGAGTGTTTTATGTTCTTTTTTTTTTAATTTTTTCACTTTCATTCTCGCACTTTTGTTTTATTTTTCCTATTTTATAGTCTTAATATTTCTTTGCAAAATACTTTAAAGTTCAAGTAACGTACCTGAGTATCTTATCCAATCTGCATTTACCAGACTAATAATTGCGCAAATAGCTGCCATGAAGGATAAAAAAACTCCACCGTAACGAGCCCTGACGAACGTATCGTGATCCCAAAACGCAAAGAGAATGTTCCACTGTCTGACCGATAATTTTGCTGTATTTGAAACCACCGGTGTCGATTTTTTAGTTTTTAGAGACGTTTTTTGGTCATAATCCGATTTTATACTTTCTTCACTACCGTCCCTTTTTAGGAATACAGAACTTTCCTTCCTTGCTTTTCGAACTGGTGTAGTTATCCGTTCTTCTTCAGGTCTTTTCTTTTTAGAATTTCTTCTCTGTTCTCCTTGCCAGGTGGAAAAGGCCGAGTTTCTTCGATTAGAAGTAGGTGAGGGATATTCTTCTTCCATTCCATACATTTCTTTTACATATCCACTACAAACTCAGGAAACATTACTAAAAGCTAAACACCGGCTTGTTCTCCTTCTCTTTTTTTTGCACTTTGGCGGCGCGGTCTCGATTGTACGGGCCAGCTCGACGGATGCCATCTGTTGGGGAACTATTATAGGCCTATCGAATGCCTTGTTCGCTGGCCTGAAAAATTATATAAGACGTTTTTCGATCTTGACGTATTGTTTTCAAAGGAGATTATGACTCGTACTCTCAACGCTTCATGAGTTTACAGTCCGTTTATAGCCCGTCCAATTTATTTGCTAAAACCTTCCTTTCCTTCATTTCTCTCCCTTTCAAGTTTTAGCTCCTTTTTTTATGTTTATTAAAAAAATTCCCTTCTTCGTTTCTCTTTTTGTCTATTCTTTTTTTTTTATTACAGTTCTATTTGTCGGTGAAACAAAAGAAATCAGTTTTTTTTTAAACAAGGTCGTCGATCATAGAAATTCAAAAACTAGTTGAAAACTATATTGTTTTTAATAATAAAAAAAAATATGTCTCATTAATGAACGACTGATATTACTGTAATTTCACCTTGGCACCAGATTGTGCTTTATCCAGGGCGTTCATTTCCATCTGTTATCAACAGATTGCCGAGTTTTGTCGATATTTACGCAATTTATTATATATAATATAACCGATTGTAAGTATCAAATGATAATCCCTTCAATCATTCTTTACTATTACATATACATATACTATATATATATACAAACATAGATACCATATTTAGTTGTATATATAGATATAGATATTTATATAACTCTCACTGTATACAATATATATTTGAAATACGAAATTATCCTATTAAAATGTAACATGCACTGAAAAAGAAAGAGAAAAGAGAAGGATAGTAGTGGAAAAGAGAGAAAAGAATAGGAATAGATAAGAGCGATTAAGTGAGAAATTCTGTTAGATTCAGGATCAATTTTCTTACTGTCAAATTTGCTACAAGACACCATGGAAACCTTATTGCAGAGGAGTAAAAAGGAAAAGTTTAGAAACATCATTTATGCAGTATTGATTAATTTAACATAAAATAAACATATATGTATATATATATATATATATATATATGCATATGTTGAATCACATATTATAATATGTAATATATATACTGTTCATATATATATATATATATTTGCAGTAGTACATACATAGACACTGCAAACTGCACAATATATAATATTAAAAAAAGAACTGTGGTTAATTATTTAGAATTTCATTCGATCTGAATTCAATCATTCGTCTGAGATAATCCGTTGTGAAATATTTTACTATCATTCCCTATTAAGGAAAAAAATTTTTCCCCCGTTTTTTTTTTCCCTTTTTTATTGACGCTTTAGAGAAAAAAATAAGAATTTATCGGGCATCCTTCTTGACCCTTCTAAGGCGGTTGCACTAGGCCTATTTACGATATTCCAGGGGTCCATAGGGATGATTAGACGGTCTAGGAATTGCCGTAAAGGGATATTTGCTTATACGAAAGCTTAAAGCTGCTAGATTCATGTCATTAATTTACTATTTTCGGGTGAGAATCTGGTAAAGAAAAAAGAATCAGAGACGATCTAAAAGAGGAAAAAAACGCTTGATACGAAGAGAAAGAGTTTCTTCCCAATAGTTTTCTCAAGTTAATGAATTATTGATGACTAAAAGAGAGGAAAAATGAAGATGGAAGAGAAGAAAGCATTTTTATAACGTAGAAAATTCAAAAGGGAGTAAAAAAAATTGATGTTTTTATATTCGATTTTAGCCGAAGTAAACCAAAAAGATGCCGCAAATTTTTATCTTATTTCCATTAACAATAAATGCATCTCTTTTTTCTTCATTGTATAGAAATTAACATATTTCATAAATTATGGTTGACCTTTAGCGGCTATCTGTCAACTACTGTTAAATTATTCGAAATGAGGAATGAATCTTTAGTTGAATATCCCCGCTAATCACGCCCGTAATCAGTAATATTACAGTCTTAAGCTTTTTTGCTAAAAGAGACAACAATCTCGTACCGTATTTCGTAACCACTGGGTTGGAATAAGATTGTTATTAATGGTTGCATTCCCATTCTTCGAGGAATCATTGACGAGTATTCGTATTTATTGAGGTTCTCTGTTGGAATCATGGCCCGTTAAGGCTCTTTTCTATTAAGTCCTATTTCTCTCTCTAAATATATTAATCCTATCCAGGCTTTCAGTATTTTATTAAACAAATTTTTATTCTTCCGATTCTATTTTAACCTTTCTAAAAACTTCCTGTTTTTTCTTTAAAGTCGGATAATCATGTTATTTATTGGATCTCTCATACACTGTTAAATAATTCCAGATATACTCTCCATGATAAAACGTATGACTAATTGCGCACATTTCCCTGTTGAATATAATAAAGTCAATAGAAAGTAAAGCTTTTCATCAATCGTCATTTGGTACTTAGGTAATTAACCATTTTCCCTTCCCTCAAGTGTTTATGAACTTTTGATAGTAAATAAAAAGTAATTAATATGCATAAATAAACTACAAGTTTTATTATTCAAATATTCTTATATATACACTGAAAATAATTCTTTTCTCTCTCCTTCTCTTCCTTAGTCTCAGGTTATTGACTGTTAATCATCCTGTTTTTTTCAATTATTATATTAACTCAATCTCCAAGGATTAATACAGGTGAGAAAATGATGAAAACGAAGGAAATTGTGCTAAATATTTAGGAGATTGAATTCTCTACAGGCTTAATACTAACCCATTCAATTAGCTTTGAAAATCCAAAGACAAAAGAGTCTTTTATTCAATTTTTTTTCATGTTATCTAATAATAACCTTATAAAAACTCTTCCTAATTGATCTTTAGGAGAGAATAAACTATCAACTTTTAAAAGGATTTTACAACAATATCTAAAAAAATGTCAAAAATAGAACGCTTTTCCTCCATACGTGTTGGTGGAATAAGTACTCATGGAGGAAGGAAAAAGGCAAATTCTTCATAGTCTAGTCGTTCTGACGCCTCTATTTGTTCCTATAACACGGTAACCGGTCATTCCCTTATTTACAAACAAGTCAAATTGTCTTGGTACTTTTTACTTAAATTGTACAGACTTAGTCGTCTCCTTAGGAAGCGCTATCTAAATCTATTGTTTTTCTTGATATGGCCGCTTCCTCTGGATAATGATAAAAAGAAGGGAGACAAAATGTTCCACTGAGTCCCTATCTCATCGACTCAAAGGGAGGGAGGGAAGGAGGGAAGGGGGGCATTGGTTTTCCGCTTCACTTCGCCAGCTTTAATAAGATACATTATAAGCCGTTTTTGAAAGGACCTGCAAAAAAAGCTTGGGATAACGTTTCTTTTAGGCGACGACCAATAATAAAGGGTAAACGATCAGATATTAACAGAGAACGCCATCTACTGCTTATACACCCAAAAATTCGATAGGGGGCAATTAAATATGTTTCTATTAGATAGCTTAAACGTGTATGTTAAGTAACGTAAAGTAATCTAAACTGATTTTTTTAACGTTTCGCCGAATAATTGCTGTAATAAAGTTTAATAAGAGAAGAAATATTGCGGCTGTAACAAGGGTTTATGGACCTTTTTATTCGTTTTTTTTGATACTATCCAGAATTACTCGGTTAGTAATTTCTTCTTTTAAATGGACATTCGTGATAGAATAAAAAATATAAAATTTACGGTTTTATTGATGAAACTTACTTAGAGAAAATAAATTTTCTCCACATCTAATTCGACAATAAAAACAGAATCGGCACATCTTGAGAACATTCTTATTTAATGGTGAAAAAACTACTACAAACAGTTGAATGATATTAAATAACGAGTAACGTTTTAACCAGACTAAAAAGATTGAATTTTAATGTGTTTAATTTTTTCTTTTAATCTATAATCCAAATCTAAAGAGAGAGAGAGAGAGAGAGACAGAGGGAGATTTTAATTTTTTATTCTATTCTTACTTTCATCTCTTAAATTGATTAAAGTTAATTCAGAGAAAGTACAATTTATAGATTATTAAGATGCGTTTCTTCCGAAAAATGAAGATATTTGAGAAATATAATATGATATTATACAAGTTAACATTTAATTTTAACGTAGCTGTAACTTTTCCACTTTCGTCTAATAATAATTCCTTTAAAGTATCTACGGTTTCGGTCTACTGATTTAGATAATTGTTTGCTGTTTGAGATAAAGAAAAATTCTTCTAAGCACCTTCTTATGCACCTAATTTACACTCTCTGCCTTACTATTGTAGTCGTATTTATCGCATTTATTTTAACTATTCTATTATTTTTGTATAGGTCAAATACATCAGTAGGGAGTTTTTCCTTGAAATATAATAAAATGGAATTGGTCTGTTTGGTTTACACCCTTTGCCCCTTAAATCATCTAGAAGAGATAAGAACGATTCAAATGTACTCCCTAAGATGGCGCTAGTGAGGTAGAAAGCGTGAAATCAATTAGATTAAAACGGACTATAAAACACTTGGAGTAAAGTTAATATAGTTCATTCTTACTTAAAACTTTTTATTATTAGTGTAATATTTACGCCAGACCAAAGATGCCAAGAAAAATACATCTCGATGCAATAAAACCTTTGACTAAGCCACTAAAATCGCTCGTACCGATAAATTCCAAAGTGTCTATCAACATTCTTTACAGTTTTTTTTACGCTTAAGCCAAACTTTTTCATCGAACGAATTAACCGGAAATAATATTTAGTCGTAATTCCAAACTTATTCTTACAAAAACATATACAGGTGCTATTTTGTCAGTCAATTTAATTTTATCCCATGTTTTACTATAAGATTAACATTACTTTTTTATTAAGAAAAAGAAGAAGTAAATTAATCCTTCTTTTAAAAAAGACGAAGAGAGAAAGAAGAAAAAAAAGAACTTTTTTATACAAGAAAAGCTTTAACTGATTAACTAGCCACACGCTAAAATCATTTAGACATAAAGGAAGATACTGTACAGCTTATATCTCTATTTTTCTCTCTCGCTCTCTCCCTCTCGCTCTCTCTCTCTCTCTCTCGCTCTCTTTCATTCTCGCTCCCTCCCTTCATTCTTACCTTCATCCGCCTTCTTCCCTCCCTCTCTCTCTCTAATGATACGTGTATATTTATGTATATCATCTCTTTTCATTTTCATATGTATAATACTTTTCTTTCCACTCTCCGCCCTTTCTTCCTATTTCTTATTTTTTCAACATTGCTTTTTGTCCATCCGCCCACTTTACCTACACACACCCACTTAGCCGAGAAAGTATAACTGAAAGATTAAACCTACAAGTTTACAAAAGTTTATTATCTTCCTTTCTTTTTCTTTTCTACGTAAACTTTATTTATCTCTTTTAAAAAGAAAATTTAGGAATAACAATTATTATTTTTATTAATAATAATATTACATAGTTGACCGAGTTTTTTTCTCACTACGCAAATTAATCGAAGATAATATTTGGTGCATAATTCCAGCCGGATCCTTATCAAAACATATACGCGTGTAGGGTCGTATTAAGATAACAGTAGAAGCCTTAGAATAAATAACGTAGTCCCGGAAAGATGCTGTCTCGTTCGAAATTCCTAAAACGAAATAAATATCAATGGAAAAACTCGCCGGCGTAGAAGTGATTAATGCGATTGCCTGAAATGCAGAACAGTCCGATCGAATCATAAAAATCGGCGACACGGTAAAAAAATTAAAGTCGGTCACGCTATTTAACTAATCTAAACTATTATTAGACCTATACGCTATAATATTCTCACTCTCGTTTTATTTTGATCTCACCCCCGTTTTCCTTTTCCCCTCTGTCCCTCTTTCTTTCTTTCTCTCTTCTTTTATTTCCCTATCTTTGTTCAAAATCTCTTCCCCACATCGTTCCCTACTCTCCCCTTTCTCTTCCATATTTTCTCTGTTTGATTTGGTATTTATTTACTAAACGAAAAAAACCCACTCTTTTGCCATATGGTGTAAAACATTATTAATTAGAGTATTTACAATTAGAGGCTTCTATATATTTATGGTTTAAAATGACTGATAAAAACTTTAACAACGCATTTTACAAGAGTTTTTTTATTAGCTTTACCCTTTTCTCATAGATAATCGTCATTGCCAGTAAAAACTGCATATTAAAACAAGCTTAGATCGCTATGACGTTCAAATTGTAGAAGAAATGCAGATATTTTCGAAGCAGACCGTACTAACTGCTAGTTTGCCAAACAGATTCGGTCCAGCTATAGGCTAAGAAGAACTGGAAAATTCTGCAGTAGCTTTTTACGATATCTCGATCTTCGGAAGGAAGGTAAGACATTAACCACTTGTTTCATATCCTGTAATAAAATGACTAGGAGGAAAAAGAGAAAATTAAATAGTGAAGAGAGACCATTAAAAGATATTTCCACATGGTATTTTGCCTAGAATAATGAAAAATCGGAATATATATATTGAAATAAGAAAACAAAGAAATCTAATTTTCTAATAACTCTCCTCTTATACCATTTTCATTCTCTTCCTTTTTTTAGTTTAGCTATTTGAACAATAAGGAGTAAGAGGCGTTAATCTTAAAAAAAAGTAACATAATAACTATATTAGAAAGTAGGAAAGAAGAGAGCTTATGTATTTTGAAAAGTTATTGATATTTAAAGAAAGTTGACTAACGTTTTCATGTTTGTTAACTATTTTTCGGCTGATCTGAAAATAATTTCCAATCTAACATTATTTCAGTCAACAAGTTGTAAATAAAAGGCAGTTTTTCTTTCTTTTGATAAATCGAACATGTGCTTTCCATTTAATCTTTTTTGATCGAAACAACCTAGCGAACAAGGATGTATGTTTCCGATTTAATAGGTTAGAAACTTTCCTCCGCCCTATGTAATTATGTTTAACATGGGAGGTTATTCAAAATATATAAGGTTATTTAATGGAGAATGATGTAAAAGCACTTCCGTTTGAGGTTAAACTTAAGTAATTTAGACGATTTAGCATTTTTACTTCTAGCATGACTTAATACCATTACTAATTTATGTACCAATTATTCTTTTCCGGCTTTGGCTATTTTTTATTAGACAAGTCAATTGAGTTTATAAAGTAATATTAATGCTTTTTCGTAAGATTTATAACCGCATGACATAAGGGATTAACCGTTAAATAACTGTTATTATTCATCAATGTTCACTTTAAAGTGTTTTTTTTTCCCAATTTTTTCAATTATTGTTACTTTTCTTTTTAATTTTGACATTACGAAATAAGTCTTTATTAACGGTTGAACGGGAAATTTCAATAAATGTCTCGAATATAAGGTGATTTATTGTGTTGTTTATTTGTTTATTTCTATTGATTGCCATATTATATTTTTCAATTTCCTATTTCAAAGTTACATTTCTTAAAAAATTAATTTAACCCTTACTTCTAATGTTTAGTTATTAAGTAGCAGTTAATTAAGTTATAGTACTCTATTTAAAACAAATTAGCTAAAATCAAATAAGCTGAAATTTCATCCCGTACCAAAGTCCAGTTTAAACAAGGTACTTTAATTATTAATCGATGCATAAAGTAAGTTTAATTAAAAAATCATCCGTCGAATTTTTCAAATGCCAATTAAACACAACAAACGGAAGCATTTGGCGTCGGTCCGAGCGTTTAATGCGTTCTAATAGACGCCCGACCTGTCGGCTTATAGAAACTTTGTGGGGCGGCGAAACTAGGAAAATAAACTGGATATTTGTTTGCCAAGTCACGGCTATATATAAAAGACTAGGTGGTTAACGATGCAAGAAGAAATGAATATTAAAAGAAAAGGATCGTGATGATGTATTCACTCAATCCCATTATTACTTATTTTATTTTGCATTTTAGCATGTTTAATTTAAGGTTTACACCTCTATAGAAAGCTTTCCAGCGTCTTTTTTTAGTCTTAATTAATGTAAAAAATATTACGCCCAAATGAATAATGAGTTGTATACTGGCCTATATTCACATATAGTACGTACTGTATATAGCCTTTATGTGTGCGTCTAAATTCCAAAGACTTTCTATATAGGATGTTTGGATAGCTTTATTCATATACATACCAATACATAAACAGACACTATGCTCTGTATATTTTATATTCACTTATATAATAGGAAAGTGTGTAAATATAGCGCTAATACATATATAATATATATATTAAAGAAAAAAAAACAATTTGAATTCGAATAATAATTAAAGAGAGCTAAGCTTCTAAAATATCGTTTATGTTTATCCTTCAGAGGGGGTGGGGAGGAAGATTTTAACGGCTGGGCCGTATAAAAATAGCTTCCCTTATTAGATTCCATCGGATAGGATAAGAAATTACTTTAAAAACATAAAAAAGCATATTTTCGAAATCTTTTATTCCAAGTTAAGTAGTAGTATAAGTGGTTAACTAATAACTTTAAGCATCATCAATTCCCCTATGACCTCTTAGTGATTAAACAAATTGATAGTTTCTTAAATTATGTACGATAGGTTAGAAGTAAAACTCTAAAAAGAAACTGTAGAAAAAGCTTATTAATTAAATAGAAAAAATAGACTATTTAAATTTTTTATACGGAATTAATTTATCATTAAAGAAGATAAAACTTCTCTGCGTGAGAAATATGTTACAAAAACCATAATACAAACAGGAAAAATGACGATCGGATTGTCTATTCTGATAATTATCGGCTTACAATATGTTTACCTTGCAACACTATTCATTTCTGTATAATAGGCTTCATCTGCATTGTCACAAGAATCATTAGCAATATATTAATTAATAATTGACAGGCCATGCAGCGTCGATACCGTGTTCTCAATGCTCGTCAAGCTCAACAAGCCGGTGATCTACAATTAGAAGAGAATGATCTAATTGAAGAAATTCGTATATTAGATAATGGGTTAATTTTATGCAAAAATTCCACGAACAATGAATTGGGTCTGATTTCCGCCGATTCTGTTGAATTACGAGCTACTCCAGAGCGGAGGAGTTCAACTTCTAGTTCAGAATCAAGTGAAAGTGGTAGAACAACTCAATTGAAGAAATTTGCTTTGGTTAAACCGATCAAAACTTCAGTCGCCAGTCCTACGATTCAATGTCAAAATGAACTGAATGATCAGAAAAATGTGTGGGAGACAGATTTCAGGGGTAAAAAAACAAGGAATAGAAGAAATAAAAGAACTACCGTTAAAAGGAGTAGAACCTGTAGCGTCTTATGTTCCGTGCTATCGGCTTTGTTCATATCCAGTTTAAACCTTTTCCTAATGTTCAGCTGGTTCGATTATTCACTTAGAACGTCTATTATAACATCATCGACTCTACTTTTCATTTTAACCATTCTCTTCATATCATCTCGTCTTCTTCGATGTACAACTGCTTTGATGTTACCGACAGCCAGTACATGTCAGGGTCGAATTTCCTGTTTGATCCTTCTTGGAGGATTATTATTGAAGGGACCTATTGAAAACATATATGATAACGTTGGGGAAATTTGCAGAAGTTTAAGTTGTGCAACGGAATTATCATATAACCAAAGTGAAATACTCTTACAACCGTTTGACGCTATGATGCAACAACTTAATCATACCAGTCGACAACTGCAAAGCGCCGCAAATAATATAACTCGGCGATTCGTACCATTAAACGAATCTCTTATTCTAGCTGATAAAAGTTTTAGAAATGGGGATGCAATTATGAAAGAAACAACTAAGGTACGCTGATATATTTATCTGTATTTAATTATATTTATACTTCACTGTTGTCTCTAATTTAAGACAGTTACAGTAATTATTAATATACTAATTAATTTAACAAAATAGAATACCAATTACTAAATTACAACTTAACCGCTGAATATCATTTAATCTCTCTACTGTATATATTACGTCTTTTCCGCCTACATGAAGAATAATTACTAAGAGTCTTATTTTTTCCCATACAAAAAAAAAACATCTTACAAGAACTATCTTTTCCATCAAATCTGTGTATAAACGTATGAGATAAAGAGAGAGACAGAGAGAGAAAAGAAGAGAATAGAAGAGGAATAAAAGACAAAAAAATTGGCAGAAAAAAAAATATTACTATTTTCTATATTGTATTATATTTATTTCTTTCCCTCTCTTTATTGGGTAAAATATATAAGGGAAAAAACAGGGCAAAAGGTATCTGATGATACTTTTCATCTCCATCTAGTAATAAGGTGAATAATATTAAAAAATAAAAAAAAAAGAGAGACAGACAGAATGCACTTAAATACTAAAATTAATAGATTTTAATTAATTAAGTGCGATAAGAATATACTATATACAGTAAATATATATATATGGTATACAGTTTAAACGCTTTATTAACAGTAGCCAAAAATAAAAGAAAGAACTTGATTTTAGTACAAACTGTCAAAAAAATACATGAGATTTCATTCTTACTTTTGTTTTATTTCTTTTTTTGTCTTCGTAAAAAAAGAGAGAAGAAACAAAATGAGAGAAGGAAATTTCTTCCTTACTCTTTCTCTCTCTCTCGTTCTTCCCTCAATATATTACTTTTTACCTTTTTACGCTTTCTCTACTGTTTTTTGTTACTTGGAATCTATTTCTTTTAAATCGCTTTAAGAAGATAAGAAAGAGAGAGAGCCTACAGTATATATAATTGTCTATAATATACTGTATAAAGAGGCTACTTTCTATATACATATACATTATATATATATATATCCTTCTAATTGGATTCAATCAAACAGTACTTGATCTATTTTTTTAACATTCCCTTAAATTTCCCCTTAACTTTATGCATATATTGTTTATTATAGCTTATGTAAGATTACTCAAATACTATTAATTAGTTAATAAGAATGCGCCTAGGACCATAGATACTCAGTGAAGCTTATATTTTTTAATTAATTTCAAAGATAATATCGACACTGACATGCGAGTATTGAGATATACTTCGAAGTTGAGCGACTGCAGATATTTTAACCAAAATTTTGGTGGTCTAATCTATATAAGATTATTCGTTGCATTCTTATTATTTCTATTCTTTGTTCCTTTAGTTTCTCTTTTTTTACGAACTATAAAATTTAATATAATGTCTTTCATATTCTCATTTTATAGACTTGCCGATCATTGGTTGCGGCTGCTTATAAAGACTGTAAAAATGGAATAGTGGAAGCTAAGAGTCGATGTGATGATTTAGTTAAAGGTATAGCTGGTATGGTTCAGGATGCTCAGGATTTCTTTGACAAACTACAAAAGAATATACCACCCGAACGTATCGAAAAGCGGCGAGCCAAGGACAAAAAAGATAAAGTGGATAAGAAACGTCCGCAAGTGATGTGCCAATCTCTGAAAGGAGCCGATGTTTGTTCGGTATTAAGCAATTCATTAAGCGTATGCTCCCATTCTACCAAATACGGTAAGGTAGCCGTAAGAACAGCAATAAACGCTACACAGAGAGCTATAGAAGATTTAAGAAATTCTTTACATTTCAAAGCTGAACCTATTTTGTTGAAGAGAAGGAATTCTTCTAAGCAAATCTCATTTACGCAAAGTATAGAAAGGGATTTTTCTGAGAAGACACATTTTGTCCGTGTAACAATTATAATTTTACACAAGATGGCGCCCCTCTCTTTAATCTTGCTTGTTTTTACGGCTTGGAAATATCTTCAGAATTATATTGTAGATATCAAGTTCGATAATTCTTATATAACTAGGGAAGCGTTACTTTTGGACGATAGAAGACGAAACGTTGGAATAGAGACGCTACTACCGCTAAAACGTCACGAAAGAAGATATGTCGCAGATACAACTGCTACTTCCGACTTAACATGTGAGGAGGAAACGCTGTATTCTACCGGCATATGCGTCCTTTTTCTTCATGTCCTTATCTCTTTCGTAACATACATGTTCGACTACGTTCTCTACTGGATCTTATCAATGATATCCGATAGTGCTGGATCAGTCACTAGCCGCGGGGTAAAATCCAACGATGTCCTAATGGGAGAGGGCGCGCTGTTCGACCTACTCAATAGGTTCATATCGTCCTTTCACTCATCGGAGAATTCTGCGTATGCATTAGCTGTTGATTCATCAAAGTGTACACCAAAACCTTCAGAGCCTAAATTACTCTTTCTTTTCATATTGTTTCTTCTGTATATAGTTCTTATTCTAACTATCCTATTTAAAGCCTACATTTTCCGTTTTCGCCTTAAACTGGCTGCTTATTTCTACCCAGAAAGACAGAAAGTCAGATCGGCTTATTTATATTCGAAGCTTCTAAATTGGAGGAGGAAAGCCGATTCTAGTTTGTCAACTAAGGTACGAGAGGAGCAACGTAAAAGAAATTTAAGACAGGAGATCGGTTTATGTAAACGTCTAAGTAGAGCGTGTCCCGTTTTTAAAACGTTTTCGCTCGATTCTAGACGTTGCCTTGCGTGCGGGCAATTGGAGGATAGGCGTTACATCGATTGTAATACGCCCGATTGCTGCGGTTTATACTGCGAGGAATGTTTTAGAGATATGTCAAACAAGTGCGCTCTATGTGAAAGGTGTTTCGTACCAGTCAGAAGAGATTTAACTGACGAAGAAGAAATGATGGTCCTAAGGGCAGATAAAGTCTATTTGTAAACTGGAAGCTTCAGTGTTGCAATTGGGTTACAATCTGAGTACTCTTTTTTACATTCCCGTCTCTATCAGTTTCAAAAATATTCTTCATTCAATCGGTTTAATATCTTAGCGCCATCTGCCGAGTGTGCCGTTATCTCTCCTTTTAATGGTTTAAGCGACACCTGCTGTTTGAAATTAACTTTGTTTTCTTGAAAAGATATCCCGTTACTTTGTTTAATAGGCAGAATATGTTTAGTGAACGTTTTTTTTCGCTAATACCGAAAACCTAGGTTATCAAAAGGTTTACTTCACGATGGATATCGTATTCCCTACTAGAAGAAATCGAGAGCTAATCCGACAGATGGCGCAAAGAACATTTGTATAGGAAATGAGATGTCGTTAAATTAAATAACGAAAAAAAATGTAGTTAGCCGAGTTTTGGTTGGAATGAAGTCAACTGTAAAACTGCACTTTGCTGAGCTTTTGTATATCTATGACACTGAGTAATTCGGTATTGGCTTGATGCACTTAATCAATTAGACATCGTGCCACTTTGTCTATTATCCCGTATAATCTATATACATTGGTCACTTCTAAGTCCGCTAATTTTTATAAATACACTAGTAAAAGCAAACTGTTTCTTCCGGTCGTTGATCTATTACAGTTTTCCTTTTCTTTCAAAAGTAAAGGGACGGTTCGCCGAAGCGTTACCGGACCGTCAGTAGATAGAATATATATCAAACAAACAATTTCCTGTGCAGTTGGATCGAGTCAATACGATATCAGTAGAAAAGGAGCGGATATTACTTTTATAAAAGAATATTTTCGATCAGTAGATATTACAGGATTTATAACGCGATATTCAAGCGTGAGTAATCGCTAACTACAACTTCGTTTTTCTTATCTTCTTTTTCAATCTCGATTCTCACTGATCTTTTCTAAAGTTAGTCTTTTATAGTTTTTCATTGACTGGATTCCAATTAATTCGATATACTTTGTATTTTATTTTATCAATCTCTTCGCCTCCATTCTTTCCACTTGTCTTACTTTTCTTAAATTTCCCGTATCCCTCCCCTATCTATTCCTTTTATTAAAGGATAACGATCAGTATAATAAAAGATAGAGAGAAGGAAAGAGAGAGATAAAGAGAGAGAGAGAGAGAAACCACTTTACCCTTTGAACGAAAAAAGTAAAAGTTGAAATAAAAGAAAAAATAATATTAAGAAAGGATGAAGAGGAAGAAGGAGAAAGAGCCTTCTGCATCGAATCTTTTCTTCATATTTTCCTACAGGATACCGCCAAAGTGAAACTTGTTTATACGATCGCGATCCCTTAATTATCTGCAGGCGATATAAACATATTTCTCCGCCACTATGCGTATACCGACCACCGGATCTGTAAAAATGTAATACAAGAAGTTCGGTAATTACTAAATACCTTTGGTGGGGTTATAATAGTTAGGTTATGAATAGTTCCTTATTAAGAATAGACTTAAATTCGCTAATTTATTTTCTATTTAATACATTTATTAATATCTTATTGAAAATAATTGTAATAAGTGCAAAATAAATTGGTTTAGCAGGCTAAATAATAAAATCACTAAAAGCCTTCTTATTTTCTTTTATCTCTCTTTCTTTCCTTCTTATATATTTCTTCTCTCTCTCTCTCTCTCTCTCTCTCTCTCTCTCTTTTTCTCCTTCCTTCTTTCTTTCTATCATTCAGTTATTCACTTATATCCTCCCTCTCGCTCTCGTTTATTCGCCCTTCTTTTGATTTTTATCATTCATTCATATTTTTCTATCTCCTTTTTTCTATTCTTCCTTTTCTATCATTCATTCAAATCATTCTTAGTATATGTATATATGAGCACTTCAGTCGATTCGGCCAGGTGGCGTAGTTTTTCAAGGTGTCAACAACTTTGAACAACGTTTTGTCAATAAAATCAACAAACTCTACTTTACGTCCTCCCTTTTTAAAATTCGTTACGTCGTTTTGTACAAAATGGTAGCCCTTTTCTTTAATTCTCTTCTTTTTGAATGTTCTTTCTCAAAGGAACTAATAATAACGTAACAATAAAAACATCTAACTTTATGTACTAAAAAGCTCTTAAAAAGCAATTATATGAGATTTATATAGATGCACTTCTTCTATCTGATATTGAATAACCAATATTTATACGCTGATATTTGAATATATACGGTTATTGTTCTCTTTTAGCTTTGAATGTTCTCTTTATTTATTTTTCTTTTTTTTATAGTAAACAACGATACGATTCGCTTTTTCTAACTTTTTCATTTTATTTGCGCATGCGCTTCAGTTATTGCAATTACCGTTCAGAGTCCTATTTCTAGTTTGTATAAATAGAAGGTCGGTTTCTCACATAAATCATGAGGTAAGAAATACTGGGAACTATTCTTTTGAATAGGATAAAATAAATGTGAACGAGGGGGTCTGAACTGTGTATGGGTTGCTCCTCCACGCCCGACCCCTCATTAAAAAGATCGTTCTATTGACTCGATCGAAGCTTCATTACGCATTTTCACAGTTGAGATCACGTTCTATTCACCTACAAATATTCAAAGCGTGTCCACCGTTCAAAAATCGGAAATTCGAGACGTATGAACGTTATAAAGACGGTTGTAAAAAGTCAACCGAAAATAGATTTATAAGTGGCTTGCAAAGAATTTTACCACCCGTTCCGAACATCATTTTCGTTTGCCCTTTTCGTTATTTTAGTTATCCCATTTCCATTCCAATATTTTATTACCTTCTTCCTTCTGACTTGTCGCCTTTCTAACAAAAAATATTATGAAGATTAATAACGGAGAATTGGTGTCTTCTCTATAGTTGTTATTTGTAGCAAGTGTTTACCAAAGGTATTTATCAAACGGCGATTATTATTACTAGAAAATAAAAAAAGACTCCCTCTAGCGGTCATATTTCTCCCTACCTCTTTTCTCATAACTCGTTTCCCTTCCGAGTCGAAAGCAGTCGATTTTTTTTGTATCATACGGTAAGTAATACATAGACGCTTTATTTTTGAACAGTTTATTGATTAACAATTGTGTTTTAGTATACTTTTTCGTTCAAAATATTTGTACTTGTAAAAAAAAAACTTACTTTTTATTATTATTATTAACAAGGATTAGGTATATTTCTACTTTTTTTAGAGGGTAAGGGCGAAAAATAATATATTGTAGAAATTCTAAGTTTTTTATAAGCCTATAAAAATATTTATCAATTTTTAAACAAATTTATTGAATAAGAATAATAAGAATAAAGGTAAAACAGCATTATTAATCATGAGATGAGAAAAGCGTTAAAAAAAAGAAAATGTAAAGAGAGGTGACTGTCGGATAGACATATATGTCAGATTTGAAATGAGAGGAAAGGTAAAAGTGTGACAAATATAGAAAGAGAGTAAGAGAGAGAGAGAGAAAGAATACAGGCAGTTTTGATGGGAGAAATTGTTTAGCTTGCGTGAGATGATAACAATAATAGTAGAATTGTATTTCCCGTTTAAAAAATTCATTTGTTAATCCCTATAGTTGATGTATGGAAAAAAAAGTATAAATAGAAGTGATAACTATTTTATTAATAAAAAAAACATAGTTTTCTACTTTTAATAAATTTTTAATAACAATTTCTATGTATGCTCATAAAAACGATTGAACGAAAAACAAATAGTTAGTCAAGATAGGCTTTAGTATCTTATTACTTGTGTTTTATGAAGAACTAAGAAAATAATGATAAGTTATAAATACATAAATATATATACTCTCTTCCCTCTTTCATTTTATATATAACCCTTCTTCTATCTATCTTTTCTTTCTTTGTCCCTTTTATCTTTGTTTTTTTTGGGGAGCAGTGAAGAAAGAAGAAGTAAATCCCTAGATATGCGTGTTTTGCATTCGAAATCGGTTATACGTATCGTAAATATATTGTTCAATGAGTAAGCGAATTGAAATGTTCAAAAAGAAACATATAATCGAAGGAAATATCTAATCCATTGCACGTGCTCCTCAAAACAGTTGAGATTCGCCTTTGGGTATACTTAAAAGTTATGCAATATAAAAAAAAATAATAGTCTTCTCTAGTTCTTTCTCTAGCTGTTGAAAATTTTGTAATAATATACCCATATTACCTATTTATGATACATTATAAATAAAAATTCAATCAGTAGGGTATTGAAATCACCGAAAAAAGGAAGTCAAGAGCCTTATATAGTCTTCTAATCCCTTATTGAATAACTGTATTTATTAACAATTAAATCTTACATGTATATTGTTTATGAAATCGTTTAGAAAGATTGAATTGATAGAGACTAATCATATATTGTTATTAATCAAAAGAGACCGGACTAAGGGGTAATTTATCCTTAGGAATAGCGTTTGGTTCTGGTAATAATACTGTGTTAAAAAATAATATAAACTTCAACCCCTACTGATGAATCGTAGAGGAGAAATTCGGCTAGTCACGAACCGGGCTATCATCCACGTAAAATCAAAATGAAATATTATACTTTGAACGTGTCGACAAGTGGATAAAGGATGGCTTAAATACTATCGGAGGGCACGCTTTAGAGCGACTTATTTACTATACGTCCTTTCCTCCCTTTCCTCCCCTTGACGCCTCTTTCGTCCCACTTCTTCAAAATATTCATAATAACTTTAATTCTTTTCAAATAAGAAATTAAGATTTTGAATCAATACTTTAGCGCCTTCTGACAAATACTCATAAATTGATTATTTATCCCGATAATCCGTCAAGTTGGTGGAAGTGCTTTCTTCAAAAGCATTGAAGTCGCCACAGCTGCAAAAAAAAAGGCACCGACTACTAAACGATCGTTAAAAAAGAATATATATTTTGATCGCTATCGCATTCGAAGGCGAACAATCGCCTACGTCGAAGCGTGAATGACGAACGACTTTAGCGCTGGTATAGGCTTAGATAACAGTTTATCCTAACATTCTGCTCGAAGCATTATATACCAGAAAAAATTCTTTCTTTCATACGTTGTTTTAGAAGTGTTTACGGGGCATAAATTCGTTAATAGAATGCCCAGTAATATATGTAAATGATTTGATTGTATAGAGACGAAATAAATAGCGAGGAGTGTACGAATACTAGAGAGAGAGAGAGAGAGAGAGAGAGAGGGGGGGGGTAGTTGAAAGCGAAGAAAAAATGTATAAGAAAAATGAGAATGAGGACAGGGAGGCAAGCAAGGGCGTCTAGAAATCTCTAGGAATTTTTTGAAGGGTGAAAAATATTGTACAAAATGTTCGACAGATTGCAAAGAACGATAGTACGTGCTGAGAATTATTTATTAAACACTAGTTTTTCCTCCGCATGTTAGTCGATTGGGTTTTTAGCGAAAGACAATTGAGAACAAATAGACTGTTGTAATAAGGAAGTCGATTTAATGGACTGGACGTTCTTAACGAACGTTCCATATTTACACACGTGCGGTAGGCGTCTAATTTTTATAGATGCCGGCGATGGTGCACTTCATCAATTCCTTATTATTAGACGCTCCGCGTGATATCGAAAATCGCGTCATCCTTCAAATGTTAGATAGCGTCGACAAGTCGGTTATATCTTTCTATTTTTCCCAATACTACTGATAGGCCTATGCCTGGTTTCTGGAAAAACGATAAGCCTTATTGGAGAGAGTCCGCAATGGTGCCACAGAGACGAGGCAGGAGTTTGATGAGCGTTTATTGTCTTAACTTATTTTCTTCGGTCCTATATTACGTTTCGTCTTTATTCTTTATTCGGAGCTGGGTTTCGAGCGTTAAAATAATTATTCAAATTATATGCAAATCATATGGAGATTTTTTTGAAACGGAAACTTTTCCATAACCCCCTAACTCTCTCTGATCTCCTGCCGACAAACGTTACACGCGCGTGTAAATGCATTTATAATAAAAGAAAGATGGGAATCTTATGTAAAGAAGAGTGAACAAGGGAGGATTTGTATTCACTGTAAACAAGATAAAGGATCAGAGGAGGGAATCTTCCATATAAAAAAAGAGCAGGAATAATCGAAAATAAAGTCGATTCACAAAGGAACAGATTTAACGATTCGTTACGCAATATGAATAAATCTAATAAAAATGTTACAAATTTTAGAAAAGCTACATTCCCAGAGATTATTTCTTTCTATAAATGCTTTTCCAACGTCTTCGTCCTCTATTTTCAATCATTTTCTTTTGTATTTACAATTCTTTTGAATTTGAATTTACATTTTTTACAATATGTTAGTAAGAGAATTTGAATTTTGTTTAAATGCTCTAAATGACCCTGATAACTCCCCCGCAGTTCTTTGTTTTCATTTATTAGAAAAACACTCCCTAAACGCACCTACAAAAGCTCGATTTAATTCGCCGAGGGATCTTCTTTTTTAAAAGGTTTTTGACATCAAGAAACCGATATAAGACGATGTTCCCTATCAATTCCTTATTCAACCGGAAAAAGGGGTCCTAATTAACACCGGTTTTATACGCCCTAAACTCTGTCTATGCCCAGTTATCCGTTGTTTATCTTGTATAGAATTGGTTTTATATATACCATATGCCTTACTGAAATTATTCCCAAGTACATTTAGTATATGCAGTATAATATTCAGGTATAGTTCATTTTTTTCCTCTTTTTTTCATTTTCGAGACATTTTATCTTAAAATAATATTTACTTTTATACAATAAAAGGAGTATAACTGCTGTTAAGAACACATACATAGATAACAAGCGGCTTTATTTGTCTAAGGAATATATTAAGTCAGTTAGCGTAGTATGTTGATTGAAGGATTTCATACGAGTCACACGCTAACGTTATTATGTAATACGTCATTTATGAAAGGCATAAAAGGTCACTGGATATTGATGAAAGGAAGTTGGGGGAAAAGAATAGAAAGTTAGGAAAATGAATGGATGGGCGGAAAGAGAATGACGGAAGAAATAAAGTAGTCTTTGATCGACCGTATTACGTCATATGATATTACACGGTTTTCTGTAAAAAGGGTGAATAGGAGAAGGTTGGAGGTGAAACATTCCGTCTTTTTCCCCTTTCCTATGCTCTATTCTATACTTATTGAATAAGAAATATTATTCATATGCAGAATCTTCAATAGAAAAGACAAGAATATATATATTTATATGTTAGTATATACATATACATTATATACATTCAGTATATATGTACTGTATATTTTGTAGAATGATCTACATTTACGATTAATAAATAGGTTGTAGTGGATATGAATGTAAAGTATATTTATATATAAATATATGTTATAATATTCTTAACAATCGCCCAGGGTAAAATTATAGAGGAGTTTTCTAGCGTTGATAGCGGTATTTGTCCGTACTACACCATTATACGAAAGAACGAAAGAAAGCTATTAAATACAACTTTTGGAACGTTTCAAAGATAGAACCTTACTTACATACATTGAAAGCAATAAAATAAGCTTTGTAGATAGAAATTAGGCAGAATTGATTGCCCCATTTGTAAAAATTACGTCATTGATGTTCTAAAGTTATGTAACCTCTACGGAAATTAATTTCCACCAATAAGTAATAAAGTTTATTAGCAAGTGTTATTATCATGAAGAAAATCTATTGTTATAAATAAGTAATACAAGAAAGAAGAAATTTATTTATATTTCATCCTTTCTCTCAATCTTATTCTCTCTTTCTATCTATCTTTCTGCCCTTCTCTCTCTCTCTCTCTCTCTCTATCATTCTCTCAGGCAGTTAGTAGTTAATTAGAGAGTTTAAAGGATCCGGAATTTCTTCCTTCCTGTTGTTATACGACTACGGAGATCTTTTCTGCCCCATTTAGTCGGCTATGCTTTTTAACCTATAACTCTCATCGTTTCTCTTTACGTTCGATAGTTTTCCTTCTCTCTCTCCTTTGTTTATATTACTTGTACAAAAACCTAAAAATAAATAGCTGCCCATTTAATTCTCTATAAAATTGAGCTTATTTCGGAGTTTACGACGAGTTAATTTGTTATACGAGTGGGGGAGGGGATAAGAGGGTGTAGTGATGGAAAGTGGGTAATTTTCGATGTGAAAATTTGCGCCGCCTGGAGGTAATTTTAATAATTAAATAGATAATCATAATTAAGAGGAATAAATTAGCTCCTTTTTCGAGGTTAATTAAAAATTTAACGGAAAGAATTCTATTAAGTACCTGCTAAAAGTAGGATGAAAGGGTATTGATCAGTAAAAAAAGTTATAATATTGCTAGGGACAAGAGTGTGGGAAAACTTAGGAGACAATAGAACATGGGGGATTTTTTTATTCCCAAAAAGTTTTTATCCGCCATACGCAGCTTTATTTTTTCCCTCGAAAAATCAATGAGGCGAAAGAATTAGACCCCAATCTATAATCTCTCTGAGTTTCCCGCCCCCTACATCAACCGCCGCCCACATCCCTAAAGCGCCGTAAAGAAGCAGGTGTACTTGGTTGGTTATAGAAGGGATATCTCGCCTTTCATTGCAACGTAAACATTCTTTGATTTTTCTTTGCTAGCCCTATTCCAAATTCGTAAAGGAGTCGGCAGTTTGTAACCGAATTTCGCGCCAACAAAGACCAACGGCAAATTGCATGAGAAGGCCGAGGAATGGCGCCATTGTAACGGCCGAATGGACACTGTCTCTGGCGTCGTTCTTACTTTATGATGACGCTTCGGGACGATGCGGATCAATATTAGTTATCTCCTTTACAAAACAAAATTTCCTTCACTCCCATACAAATATAATAAAAGAAGCATAAATGTATTTTATTCTCTTTACGCTTTTATCTCTCTAATAATGCTAATAAGGTCCATATAAAACTGAATTTGTTAATAATTTTCTATTTATTGCTCCTATTACTATTGTATATGGTGTTAATATAAAGTGGAAACCTGTGAAATCGGGGTTATTAAAAGGTAATTCATAATCGAAAAACTTGGTTACGTCCATGACTTCAGCTCAGCAGGCGATGACAGAATAGAAATGACAAAACGATTTATTCATTATAGTGTTTTTCTGCTATGTTCCGTTTATATAATGGGCATATTCAATATATAAATATATATATATTTATAAATTCTTCAATAGAAAGCTACTACTCTCTACTGGTGAATCCTATAGAAAATTTTATTATCGTACAGAATAAGCCAAGTACTCCGGATAAAAAGGTTTTCGATGTATTAAAAAAGAGTGAACAAGTCAAAAAAAAATTGAGAAAGAGAGTAAAGAGATAGACAGGCTGGCATAACTTGAATAGTATAAAATAAAAGCAGTAAATATATATTCTTGAATAGAACAAAGAAGACCTTTACAAAAAACCCTTTTTAACCATTCCATATAAAGTGTAAAGAGTTAAACTTCCTAGGTCTAGTTAGTTATATAAATATATATTTATATATATATATATATTATAGCGTGTATACTCTATTTATTATTTATATTAGATTCTTTGTTTCGAAGGCCTATAGCTTATATATTAGTTATGAATGGAATTTTTCGTTGTATGCGAGTTATTTTTCCGGCGACAGTGTTCTACCCCACCCAAAGAAAAGTCAAAAGGATCGAATACATAGGCCGGAAACAATTTATAAAAGTAACTCGTTACAATCACCTCCTGCGAACCTTACTAAAGAAAAGGTCTTTAGTGAATAGCCTATTTGCTGATAAGCTGTATAGATTTTCAATTTAACCGCATTTTTTCCATTAAAGTAAAATGAGAGGAAGAAATCAAGAGCAGAATGGACAATGGGTGGGTAGGATAGTAGGTGTGCAGGACACTAGGAAGAATGAATAAAAAGAAGAATTGTTATTATAAAAAAAAGGTTACTTTCCCACATCTCTACTTAATCATGAGAAAAAAGGCTTTCCTGGGAAAAAAATAAGTTTATAATGAGCAAATCGAAAGAATAGAATCTCTTTATTTATTTTACCGTTCAATCGCTCCCTCTTATACTTAAGGGGATGGACGATCACGCCCTTAGGATTGAAGAGGTCAGGGAAAGATTTTTTCCTTTTCTCCTTTTTGTTATAAAAGATAAGAAGGTAGAGTGAGCACGCTCTTAAGGGCTAAATACGTCTATTTTAAAAAGGCGTGTTTAAGGAATAAAACTATTTAACAAGCTATTTTTGCCCTTTTCCTCTTTTTTTTCTGCTAGCATTTATCTTTCATTCGCTCACCTTTCAGAACAATTTGGCAGATCTCCTTTCTGTTTCTTTCCGGCAATTTAAAAAGAAACATTACGAATAGGGATAACCCTCTAAGAAGGGGTTTTTTCCCGACTATCAAACAATAAACACGTTGTTAACTCATTTATTTTGACGTAAAACAGACAAATATATAACAGCTGTTGAATATACTGTACAGTATCAACATTTCTTTTCACCCTACAGGGCTTCTCAATTTCTAACCTACCCAATCTCCTATAATATTTACGTACGAGAGAAAGAACTTTCCCTGAGCTGACGGATTGTTTTCATAACGAATCAGAAACGAATCGTATAAAGAGAAAATTTACCGAAAATAAAAAAGATTAATTATTTTAAATAAAAGAAAACAGAAAAGTGAAACTATGCACGATAATTCTACTAAGGAGCCATAATGCCCCGGATATGGTTGCCGATAATAGTAGTAGGCCTATTACACTTACTAGGGACTCTATCGTGCCCAACGAGTTGCGTTTGTCACAGGCGTTACTCATCTGTAAATTGTACACTACAAAAACTGCAAACTGTACCTGTTCTACCGGAATGGACAAAGAGATTGAATCTAGCGCATAATTCTTTACTACAGCTATACGGTTCCTTATGGAACAATATACGTGGTGTGGAAAGTTTAGATTTGTCTCATAATAGAATTAGAACAGTTGTGGAAGGTAGCTTCGTATATTTAAATGATCTAAAGTTCTTAGATTTGTCGTATAATGAACTAAACCAATTGTCGATGGCAATGCTAAAGGGACTAACTAATTTGAGGACGCTTGTAGCAAACTCGAACGTTATCGTCCACTTGGAATTGGGTTTACTGACCAATTTACGAATATTACAGTTAAAAAATAATAGATTAAAGAGACTATCTTCTGTAACGTTCTCGTTTTTAACCAAATTGGAAAAATTGAATTTGGACGGAAATCTTTTAAAAGACATTGATGCAAAGGCATTCGAACCTCTTAAATCTATAAATACAATAGTATTGAGAAATAATCCTCTTAAAGATAATTTGAAAGAATTGAACATACCATCATCGGCAAATTTAAACTTCTTAGACCTATCGAATTGTGGAATTAATGATATTCCACTAGATGTACCAAAGACTATTGATTACCTCGTCCTTAGAAGGAACAATATCAGAAGCCTGAAAAACATAAAGCATCTTATTAGCATAAGAATATTAGTCATGGATCAGAATAAATTAGAAAATATTGAAAAATATACATTTCTTAGATTGCGTCTATTAGAGGAATTACGTTTAGGGAAAAATTTGATGAGAAAAATACCAGATTCACTTTCTCCAACTCTAAGATCACTATATATGGATGAAAATCTAGTGAGAAAGGTTACGAACGTTTTTCAACCTGGTTCCAATCTTCAGAAGTTATCCTTAAATAGAAATAGGGTAAGTAAATAATAATTATGTTAGATTACATAACTTCCCTTTTGTTGGGATTATTAGAAGAATAATATCAGAATCAATTTAGCATAAGGTAATAATTGTTTAATGAATAAATCTAATTTGTTTAGTGTAAATATATGAGATTTCATTAAACCGGATAAGGGATGAGGGTAAAAAGCTTTACGAAAGATGAATATAATATAAGGTTTATATAACTGCTTTTCTTTTATTCTATATATATACTCAACAGATAAGGAGAATTGACGGAAACGCTTTGAAGAACTTACGTAACCTGAAGCACGTCGACTTTAGCGTCAACAACTTAACAACAATCGAGGAAAATACTTTCAGGGAGAATTACAATCTTACAACTTTACAATTATCCGTAAATCCCCTTCAATCTTTACCTTCAAAATCTTTCCGGGGATTACGTAATCTGAACCGTTTAACCATGTCCTATATCTCGACCAATATATATATGGGAAAGTCGTTATTTAATTATACGAAGCGCTTGGAAAGATTATCAATAGATTCTAGCCCGTCTATTGCCAGGAATCTTATGTGTTCTAGGACTTTAAGGAGTGGCTTAAGACCATTGAAATCATTATCAATGCTTTCGAATGATTTGCATACATTCAGCGCAAACTTTTTGGTTGATTTGCCGAATCTATCAATGTTTAAGTTTACTTCTAATAGACTATGGTGCGATTCGAATGTAAAATGGTTCAAGCAATGGATTCTTGCAACCACTATAGCTATCGATTCATTCGCTTCGATTATCTGCCATAATCCAACCGAAAACTTCCGGATACCGAAAAGTTTAAAGGATGTTGACGACGTCCATTTGATGAACAGTACTCTTCCTAGGGCGTTTAATCAATGCTCTTCAGCCTTACCTACTAACAAACCCTTCGAAGCCACAGAGAGATCCCTTAATGAGCAACCCGCAGAAGAGAGGGAAGAACTGAAAGAAGATTCTAAAATGACGGATATGAGCAAAAATTTATTTACAACTCCCAGTATAACTTCGTACACGGAGGGCAAGGTTGTTAGGAAAGGTCGAGGAATGACGGGCAGAGTGTCCCTGATGACCGTATTCGTTAGCGTCGCTTGCGTTTTAGTTCTCTGTGGCGTAGTTGCCACTGTTGTATATTGTATAAGTTCGAGTAGAAGAAAGAAGTGGAGGAGGAAAAAAGGAAAAGCTAGAAAAGATTCCAAAAGTCCTTCTATTATAAAATATGAACATGATAAAGACGTTTTATACTTTTCAACTTTGCAAAAAACAAAGACATTCGCTAATTCCAAGCCTGATTTAGTTCAAGGGGATCGTATGAGTTTGGTTCCAGGACGAGATATTAACCACGAAGGTCCACTAAGGGTTTATAAATGGGAGGATTTCTAGTGTATATGCAATAACAACATTTTTATGTTATTCCTGTTTTATTTCATCATATGTTTCTTTTTTTGTTTTATGTTCTTTTTAACCAAAAGAAAAGCTATGGAGATTTAAAAGAAAAGAAAGGATAAAGAGTTACAATATTTTACTGCCATATTATTTTATTTATTTTTTTACGTAGTTGTCTTCTTCTGAATACAACGATCTAGTGAAAAACGAAATATTAATCCCTAAGGGATTTATATATAAGAAGATTCCCCGGATAAGCAATTTCTTTCTATACCCGAGCCGTATTTCTTAGTTTAGGACCTACGGAATAGATATATACAAAATTAGACCACTCGGGATAAAAGTATATCCGTCTTGGCAGCCGCTTTTATCTAGTTAAAAGTTATTTTTTAGTCAGATAGAAAAGAATGAAAGATTATTTAGGGTCGAATTAAAAGGAACTGCTACTCCATTTGATTGCTTTTAGACTGATTGCGGTACTTATTTTAGGAGAGAAAAACATCTTATTATTATTCATTAAACCAATAAAATATAGGATAAATGGCTAACCAAAAGAAAGAGAGAAAAGAGAAACTTTTCAACTCGGAAAAGGAAAAAAATAGTATTAGGATTCTTATTGTGTACAAAACCAACGCCATCTATTGTAGAAAAATTTCTATATCCTTCGTGTAATTATTATTCTATGTTATACGGAAGGAAATTTAAGAGAAACACTCGAATTAATTGGAAAACGACAATTGCAAACAAGCAAAAAATAAAACCTAATGAAAAAAAAGGAGATATTTTCTATAGCGTAGCTTTTTAAGATTCTACCAACTACACTTTATATAATCCATTCATTTTTCTTATTGAATGATCACTATCACTTACAAATATACAATATACTGATTGACTTACGAAATAAATAAGATTAGGAATTTCATCTTAAAAGACCAAGGATTTGTTTGTTAAAACTGTTTTCCTTTATTATTATTCATTAGTAGTATCTCTCTACCAATTTCTCTTATTCGAATATTTTGTTACACCATTATTTGCATCCTATATTCTTTTTTTTTATTTCGACACTTCTATTCTCGACCTTGAAAGAATCTTTTTTACCTAATAAAAATATAATAAAAACGGCCTTCGTTTGAAAGGTGTAATTGGAGAATTTTCAAGCACCTTTTTATTCATCAACGGCTACTTTTAACAAATATAATTAGCTATTCAGAATATAAAATATTCTAAAATTTATAAAAATAGTTTTTCACACTTGAAAAAAATTTCTTTTAATTTTTTTTAACTGACTGCAAGATTCCGCAAATTCTTTCCACACCTTCCGTCAATAGTTATAACAAATAATTAGCTAAGTATAAGACACTAGAGGGCGCCACCAATCTATATTTATCAGCGAAACAAACGAATAAGTATACATATACTGTATTTATAAAGTATACTGTATACATAAATAATAGAATATAGATTTGTATATTGAATGTTCTATTTTTATTAAAATGAATTCAGTAGGAATACTGCAATAAAATGTACTTTCGTGTTTATTTTTAAGTAAATGCTGGTTTTCACTGTGTTTATACATAAATTTGTAATATTTGTTGATTTTCTATTAAGAGCGAATATACAGTCGTAGAGAGAATTTCAAGCTTAGTCGATAATGGACAGTAAAGTTCGATGAAAGTAAGATATAGGATCAACAGCAATACCCTTTACGATTCTGTTTTGCGGAGATACATTTTATATTTATTTCATGTATCATTAATGCAAGTGAGCTGTTCTAATACAGTGAAGATGGATTAAGCTGATCCGTTTAGAAACATTTCCGCTTTTTGTTTATTAGTTTGTTTATTGGATTTCGTCTATTAAATCTGTAAATCTTTCCTGTTTACAGTTAATTAACTTTTTTAGTAAATTTATTCAAAAAATATTTTCGATCTAATCAGTAAAAAGGAGAATTGATGATGTAAGTAGAAAGTTCTCGTATTTAAATATGTAAATATTCCTCCATCAAGCTTTCTCTCTCTCTCTCTCTCTCTCTCTCTTTTCTCTTTCTCTCATTCATTCATTTTTCCTTTACTTCTCTCTATCTCTCTATCTCTTTCCCTCTTTTATCATTTCTCTTCGTTTCTATCGCTTTGACGTAGCGAACGATAGAAAACGCTGTCCAAAAATGAAGAGAACCTTGAAAAAATTACAGTGCTATTCATATTTTAGAAAGAGAGAAAGACTAAACTAAATCTTATAAAGTGTGTTATTATTCTCTCAAGTATTCTTATTTTATTCCAAAAAACTTAATTAGATCATTTCTTGTGGGAGTGAAAAGGGAGTGTATGAAGGGAAAGGAGAGGCAGTCAAATAAAGAAATCATGCTCGAAAATACTTTCATCCTTGAACTTGAAAAGTTCTAAATTTCCCGCGGCGTAACTCACCATTAAAATTTAAATGTTGTTAAGAAAAAGTTTCTAAGGTTTTGTAACAAATTAACAAGGTTTTAAAACATATTATATAAGATTTATCTAATTTTTTTTAAGTACTTTACGTTACCTAATAATCCATATCTATCTTGATCAGAAAAAATTTAATAAATTCAAGGAAACGTCTATTAAGTACACATTAAAGTAAAAAAAAAAAAACTGACCTGTTTAAAGGATACATCACTTTAGGAGGAGAAAATCAGAATAATACACAATTTTGCCAGCTGTATACATTCTGTATTATAAGAAAAATAATACTGAACATGCTGAATGTATTGTGTAAACATTCTCCAGTATTCCAGTATATATCGTATTATATATATAAATCTTTTTTACGCATTCCTTATTTGAGGTTATTTATCATTTTAACCGAGTTTATGGAACGATTTACTGCCTTTCTAATCCCTGGGTCTGATACGGTGAATATTACTTAAAGAGAATTAATCAAATAAAATTATTGCTCTGTCGAGAATTTTTAGTGAAAGGAGTAAAATAGCCCGTTATAGTTTTGTTCCATATATGGTTTATATATATATATATATAAAATAATAGATTTCTCTTAGGTTTTTATCTTTCCAAGAATTATGTGATAGATAATGTTACTTTTAATTAAAAGCTTTGAATTTCCCCTTCTTCTCTCTTAAATATAAAATTTTTATGATACTTTTTATTGAAACAAATTAATTGCAAAGAAACACTAAACACCAAGACTCTCTTGGGAGTTTTACTGGCTGCACACGAAGGAACAATTGTGTAACGAGATGAGAATAAAAAAAATACTGCCAAAATGTGTAAAGTACCAAAAATGACGCGTGAAACTATTTATATAAATATAAAAAAAGAAACCAAAATAGACGCCCAACAAAAGTCGACAATTAGATGATAAATTCTAAATTCATATCGTAAATAAAAGTTTTTTCTTGGAGATAATAACTTCATAACGGAAATTTAAAATAGGGGTTAAAGGAAATATAGACTTATGAGAGAATAATCCAAAAATAAAATACACTCAAATTGATATAGATGATAGAATATTTATGAATAAATAGACTTAAAAGGAAGAAATATACTAACATAAGAGAGAGAAAGATATTGTCAGTTAGAATATAAATAACACAGATTATTATCACCATTTCAAATGCAAAGATATTAAAGTCTACAAATTCAGCAAGTATTAATCAAGTACAGCAATTTTAGCGACGAAAGAGAACCACAATGATAAGCAATTTCTATTTTACTGATAAGAATTCACCATGATGTATGTTGTACACATGTATATCATAAATATTACAATATTTATATATGGCGTATGTTATTAATAGTATCTATATACAAAAATTTCTAAATTGTATATATATATATATATATATTCTATACAAATTATATATTTTTAGATTAGCCGTTTAATAATTTTGTATAAACAATATTCCATCTAAGTTATGATGGGATTTATTCATGAATCATTTGTATTTGTTTTTTCTGTTTTCCCTCTCCTCTCCACCCTCTCTCTCTCTCTCTCTCTCTCTCTCTCTCTCTCTCTCTCTCTCTCTTTCTCTCTCTTTTGCATATACGCTCTCATAAATACAAACACACATACACGCATATATATACACACACATAGAGAGACACACGCTCTCTCTCTCTCTCTCGCTTTCTCTATTTCTTCCGTTTCCTTTCTTTCTTTTTCTTTTGGCTTACTGATTCATTTGCTCACTCAGTCACTCATTCCCCCACTCACTCACAATTTTCATTCCCCTTGTCTCAATATTTTTCGCTCCAAAAGATCATTTTCTCCATTTACTTTATCCCACCCATAGCTTCTTTATCTTTTCGTATTTTCTCATCTGTCTCTTTTCCTGTGTCCTGTTCAGTTCTTTTATTGCATAAGAGTTAATAACATTGCATGTTTATTGGTAATACAATACAAGAATTACTATATCATTGACTTGCACTCAAAGCACTCATATATTGTATATTTATATGCATCTATCTCTACCCAAAGGAAGTGATATATAGATGGCGTTTGACCTATTCATCAGCAAGAGTTATCAAGAAACAAAAAAAAAATAACACATATAGGCCTATAAACAAAACAGGTGCTCTCCTATTTTAAAAGATCTGTGGATATTCTAGCTTAATCTTCTGTCTCTCTTTTTTAAATGTATTTTATAATAAATTAGCATTAAAGAGTGAGTATTTTTTTAATTATTATTGTTATTACAAGCACTTGCTAAAATGTTATTTAGTGGCAAAAACGTGCTCATTAAATAGATTTATAATTTAGACCTTGAGCGAAAAACTCCTAAACGTATTAGATGACAACAAGGAATAAATAAACAAAATCTTACAGAATACTATATGATTTTTGGATTGCTTTGTAAATAAATAAATCTTAAGCAAAAAGTAATGATTGAAGCCTATTAAAATCAGCCGTAAAACATTCTATAAGAACATAAAGATATATCTTTTTTAGGCATTCTTTTAATGTAAATCTATATCTATAAACTTTAAAAATAGAATGTTTGATTACTCAGTAAATCTACAACGGAATTGAATGGTCTAGAGGATAAGGGATTTGACAGGTAATTTTCGTAAGACAGAGGCGCTTTCAGAGGTCTTTAGGGCCCACTAAGATCAATGCTTATATAGATTTCTTCCTTATATACAGTAAATGATGCTACATAAGCTAACATAATTTCCTATTTTCATTTAAACAAGCAAATAAGATAATTCTGTATAGACTTGCGTAACAGTACATTTCCAGTATTAATGATAGAGGAAGGATCAATCTAAGATCAACTTTTTGTATTTGAACATTTAAACTAGATATTCTTATAAATGTAAAGCGTGGCTTATAAACAGTATTTAATAAACTATCGGCAACTGTGAACTGTGTATTATGCTATACATACACAAATATCATAAAAGGGTATATTGTTCATATATGTATACATATATATATATATATATATATATTGATAAAATTATAATTCTATACTAAAAGCAACGGACACAATTGTTACCAAGCTGACAACGGACTGTACAATTTTTGTATTATGCAAAATTTGTATTAAGGGTAGGCAGTGAACTATATGCCTTTATTGTAATGTATAATATTTACCACACAGATTATTGCTTGTATGATTGGAAACATGTGGACTTTTAATTGTATCCCAACCGTATTGCGCCATATGTCTTAGATGTATATGCTTGCAATTAGTGTATTGATTGATTGTCTAGTTCATTGTTAGAGTTACAGTACCATACATTAGATGCCTTATCAATAATTGAACACAGCCAAATAGGAATATGTGTTTGTTTCTAGTGACTAATAGAACCCATAAACTAATTTCAATAAGTATGTTGAGGAATATGAAAAAATTCTACTATTCAGTCACGTGACGTTACAATATTTTTGTTCTTCTCATTTCACTAGTGAGAAGCTTCCTCAGCGGGGGTAGAATAGGAAGAGGGTGTGAGAGAGAGAGAGACCGACACATAGAAAGAGACAGAGATAGAGAGAGAGAGAGAGCGAGAGAGAGAGGAAAGAAAAAAGAGAGGGGGCGATCGAAAGAGGCGACGAATGAGAGAGAAGGGAAAAACTGAGAGACAGACAGCGGTGAAACAGCGATCGTATCCCCTATCAATATGTGCGTTATGAATGGAAAATGGAGGTAAATAGAAATTGATATAATGTAGAAAAAAAGGGCCAAAATTTAATTGTTATAATACTTAAGTGCGTTTTATACAACTAGTTGATAATTATCTTAGTTGATTAATAGCCTCATCATTTACAAGAAAGTATAATTTGTAAAACTTTTAATGAATCGTTATTAGATGATTATTGGTTTTTTCTATATATCCTAATACGCATATATATATATATGTAGATATACATAAAGTATCTATATTCGTATATCTAATAAACAATAAAAATATATGTACTTTTAAATATTTATTAAATATTTTATCATGTTTTCATGCTAAACATACAAACTTTATTTCTATCTTCGTATATTCAATCGCAAACTCCGTACGAACATAAATCATGTAAGGTAGCATATAGTCTTTAGTAGACATTCTATTTCCATTTATCTATGATTCTATCCTATTTTATTTATAGTTTTACTCAATTGTTAAGTATTTTTCTGCGTAATGAAATTTTCAACACTCTATTTAACATATAAACAGAAAAAGTTTCTATTCGAAACCTAATGATTTTCCTCTACTACAGCACCTATCAGTTTTGAGGAGTTGGTACGGAGATTGGGTGTGGTTTGACGCCGAGACGGCGCGTCGAACTGCAAAATCGAGAATAAAAGCAGTACGATATTAGCGTATTGCAGTCAAGCAAGCTCTCTGTTTGGGAGAGAGTTAGGTTTCAAACATTTTTTGCAGTTGGATGAACAACTTCTCATATGCAAACTATACTACTAACTCTCCTCTTCGTTAAAGGTTTATTAGGCCTATTGCCGCCTAGAAATTTAACCATAAGTAATCTTGGATCGGATACTGTGGTTATCGAGTGGAAGATAGCACCTAATCAAAGGGTTCATTCCTACGAGATTAGATATCGTTCAGAAAAATCCGATCAAGTTATTGCTAGACTAGGGGGGCAATTTGATCGGGTACTTCTCAGACAGTTATTACCTTCCACCGAATACTACGTCTACTTGGTCAGTTATGATAACCAAGGATTACCTAGTAGGAACAAATCATTGATAACATTCGTCACCTTACCCGGTAAGTCTTTAGCTAATTACTCTTTTAGATTTACGTTATTTTTTGCTCGTTATGTCTTATTGTCGTTAAACTAAAGAATCATTAATGAATCTCTAAATAGTCTTCATTTTATTGATCTTTTCATACTGTGCCTTTTATTTTTTACACATTGGAGCAATCAATTACTGTTGATCTCTTCAACATAGTTAAAATGCGCTGAATAATATAAAAGAAATACTTGAATTTCCAGCTGAAAAATGCTAAGAGTTTGAAAATGATGTAATAAAATTGTTATACAATATATTTAACTTTCAAAGTTGAAATACTCATTTTATGATCAATAAACAGCATGAACGTCACACGAAATCATTGATTAGTCAACAAAAGATTCTAACTTCCTTCATAGTTTTACTAAAGGTTAATTATTCTTTCATACTGTTCGTGTAAGTTATATTAGTGAAGCGTTTATTAATGAAAACGAAACATACATAGTTTATGCGCTAAATACATCTAGGAAAATAGTAAAACAAAGAACTAATTTAGAGTATTTTTAGAAAACAATCAAAGAAGAAACTTACTATTAATCAAATTGGTAAGAAAGAAAATATTTTAAAGTTTAACAAATCATCTTTAATACGAATATAGAAAGAAGAGAAATTCTATTTTTTTTCTCTTTTGAATAATTTACTGTCTTTTTTTATCGTTTAGCGTTGTTACTAATCAACTCCTTTTGTCTTACATCTCCAACATGTTTTTCCTACGCCCTTATTTATATTTTGTTTAATGTATCAAATTTCATAAAAAAATTGACTTTATATTAGGTACAGTATTATTTTTAGAAGTTAGGCTTAAATGTTACAGTAGTAAAACGTTTCTATAGTATTTTAAGAGCACTCAAATAGCCAGAAAGAGGAAAAAATATAACAAGTCTAGCTCTTTTTCTCTTCTAGATTGAACTATCGAGCCTTTCATACTTACTCTTTGCTTAAACGTCTTAAATTAATTGTTGATCGAGTATACTGGAGCTTTTATATATTTCTGATGTCGGAGGGGTAGCTTTGAATGAAGCTTTATAATGTCTAGTTGTATGAGGGTTTAGCTAAAGAGAGCGCTTATGTAAATAATAGTATCTTGTTCGTTAATTAATTATTATTCGTTCCTGTTATTTCTTTCCTATTCCTGAATTATTACATGATTTAATTAATTGCCTGCCAGAAAATAACAAATTCCCTCTTCTCATCTCACACTGACTGATAAATATAACACCTGTACAATATATAATATCGTATGCTATCATTTATCCCCTCGTCATCTTTCCGTCAATTTTGTTCTTTAATATAAAAATTTTCAGAGAAAGGTTTCCCTTATTTACATATGAGATTAGTGAGGAAAATGAGTAGGTCTGGAGAGTTTGCAAACATCTTTCACCTCTTTGAGCGGTATAGTTGAATAGAAATCAATGTAGATGGGGAGAGTAAATTGTTACCATGGCTACACAATCACTTTCTTGTCTGCCTTCCTATTGTCGATCGTTTTATTGGCGGACGGCGATTTATGAATTACTAGTCACGTCTCTATGTTGGCCTATTTTCTAGAGAAGAGAAAACTAGGATAATAAAGGAAAATGAGTAGGAAAAAAGGGTTGAACTGGAAAATGAAATAGGAGAAGGGTGGAACAAAATTTACAGCTTTATTTATCCATTCTATTAGTCGCCCGATTAGGTAGAGTGCTTTCTTTTCTGGGCGTCCATCTTTTTCTTCCTGAATACTTTACCGGAATTTTTTGGAGGCATAAAAAAGGCATAGAAAGGTCCACTTTGGCCTAAGAAAAACCTTTTAGTATATAACCGACTTGGACGGTAATCTTATAAAAATATTATATATTTTAGTCATAAATCGACAAGAAACACGCGAAGATTCTAGGTTTACCAGAGTAGACAGGCTTTATAACGTAAAAAATATAATTTTGTAAGCTTTTTCCAACAATTTTCTGCCGGTTAGCATCATTAGGCCTAACACTTTCTCTCTCTAATATAAAATAACGGGAGGAAAAAAAAACATTTCTTTCTTAATACTACGCATATCTTCTCCTAATTTTTCTCTCGTACTTAGCGATTATCGAGATAATAAGGGATTTAACGATGTACACGGAATCGATAATATAAAATTGTTCATACCCATATCTTAAAACAACATACAGCTAACTTGATTAGGTAGATTAATGTTATCACTAATTAGACATATTGAATGTATAGAAAATGACGATTTTAATCATATTCCCTTGTTCTCGTTCTTTCAATAACACTTCCCTTATAATTAATTAAATACCATCACGTTTATTGAACATTGAATGGAATACAGGTGAAATAGCCTTGACCTTCTCTCATTATTTTAGAAATTGTAGGTGTTTGGAATAGGGGAAGAGAGCTGGCCAAGGGAGGGCTTTTCGTGTGCTTTTTTTTCCTCTGCGGTAGAAAGATAAACTTTTATCGTTAATACAGTACAGAAGTTTGATTAAAAAGATTTAGCCTATTATTTATAGGGCGTTTATTGTCGAATATGAATTAATTTATATATATAACCGTAATAAATAAAATCAGCTAGTAAGGTATAATGTTCTATTATTTTTACGGTTGGAATGAATGAGGCGTAAAAAACTATTAAGCCGAAAATATTTAGCGGGAATAAGCGGTTGTTAGTAAGCTCAATTTATGTTATAAAAACCATCAACGCAATAATTCACTGTAGAAGATGGTGTGTTACAGTTTCTCTCCTCCTTTTTAACTGAATCTTATTCTTTTACGCTGATAGAACAATTTCTTCGTATAGTAAAAAAAAAAAGAAAAAAGTCCATTAAATAGGAACTATTTACCTACAGACAAATTACATACTAATTACTATATTATATAGCAAAAGCACATAAAACATTATGCAATATAATACGTTTATTTATGCATATCTTGCAATATTTTAAATTAGCTTACAAGGATGTAACATCGATTTTTTTCAATATGCATGTAATCATTCTAAAAGAACTATTTTATGCTGACTTTCAAGTTTTTACGTTCAGGTATTTTTTTTGTTTTTTCTCCTCTTTTTATATTAAAACTATTAAACAACGCCCCTTTAATACTTTTTCATTATTAACACTTCAAATGTAAAGTTAATAAATATCATAAGAATTTTGAAAATTATCAACTGAGCTAACAATTGAAATTTGTTCCCATTTATCCTTTATTATTTCATAATATAAGTGTTTATCTTGTAATCTAAGTCCAATAAAATTTACAGTATGTCTCTCTTGTTTTCTATAGGATAGAAACCTGTTCTATGACTAAAATAGATAGATATTTAAAGGTAAAACCTGTTTCTTTAATTTAAGGTAAAAAGAATAATTAGCTTAATTAAATTTTATATAACTTTAGATAAAAGTAAATAATAGAAAGATAGAAACAGTGTAGAGGATGTCATTGGAGTGGAAAGGTGAAGAAAATAGTAGCATATTCTCCTTAGAGAGATATAAAGGATAAAGAGAAAAATATATATACAGTAATACCCCATTTCTGTTATTCGTTTATCAGTTGTATTCTAGGAATAGTGTCTTTAAAAACTCTCTTTTATCTCTGTTATCTACACCATTAACAGTATAGTTTTACCATGGCCTGTAACAATGTTGAGATCAAATGCTTTCTATAAAGGATAAATAATTTAGAAATGAAAATAGGAATGTGGTTTGCACTTTGAAATAATTAATAATTAACAATTTTAATTTACATTGTTGGGGACTTTTATAGTCTATTGCTAGGTTTTATAACTTCTATGTATTACATTGATATGCTATTATTAGCATGGACCAGTGTTTTTTATATTAATGATATGGTATATATGGAAAGATTTATCTAGAAAAATTGGCTTTTTTACGCTCGATTTACTTGTAGTAAAGTTTTTTCTTATGTATCTCTTACTTATATATATATGGCACGTACACAATATTTTCCAATCGACCGATTCAGAGTGAAGAAAGCATGAACTCTGTTCCAAATCAATGCACAAAATCAATTCAATTGAATCCCATCAGCCAAGTGCCTCTTTGATAGGGAAACGGCCGCGAAAATGCTTGTGCTAAACAAACCAGAAATTTAAATCTCTAGTGGCCAAATAAAATCTAATCTTAAAAGTATTAACCGTCTCTAATGGTTGTCAGTTAACAGACTTTATCCATACAATTGTTAAATCCCCTACTTTTTTATATTTACTTTCTTCAACGAAACGAATTCTAGTATCCATCATTTATGTATAATATACCTTTATGTTTTCTCTATCATCTGATAACACATTTCGAGTAAAAATGTACATAATTGTATTAATTATCTATATTTTTTAGAGGTTATTATTTGAAAGTATTTAATGAACCCAATTGTACTTAAGACTTTTGTTATTTTAGACTGGGTTTATATCAATGAATTCTAGGCTTACGTTTGTTTACAATCGAGCTAAATCACCTAGAAACGCTGTGAAAGTTAAATATGTAGTATTAGGCCTACTTTTTATTCATGAGTGCCCTAATTGATGTATGTTGGGTTTTTTTACTATTTTCTCCAATCAATACGATATTCAAGGAAATTAATCCTATTCTGTTTGCAACTGGTCATAATCACTGAATTTACTTTATATCTATATATATATATGCTTAATTGTATATACTGTACATGTAAACGTTGATAAATCTATATTTAATATAAAAAATAAAGACAAAAAAGGATGTAAGTTAATTTTGCCTGTTTTATTCACAGCTACACCGTTCAACCGAACGAATTACCAATATAGTGGAGAAGAAATCTTTATTATATTCGTTGTATTATGCGCTTGGATATTTGCCGTTGTCATATTTATTCATCAATGGCAGAAAATTCGAGTCCTCCAACCAAGCGAACCAAGATATAGACACAATCCAAAAAATCTCGAAAAGATCAAGGTTGTTAAGAAACCAAAAGACAGCGTCATCTGTAGGACATTACCAAGAAGTTTATCTAGGACTATGCAAGCTAGACAAAGAAAACAGTTTGAAAGGATGCATACAATGCCAAATATTTCTCTTCAATTGGAGGGTGGGGAGAAGGAGATGAAAAAATTTGAGAGGATGAAAACGGCACCAATTCTGCCCATTAAAGGTGCCTTGACAACCCTTGTGGAATTATCAATACATTCCGATCGCCCAGCACAGCTGACTGGAGAAGAAAAAAGAAAGAAGAGGAAATCGAAAAGATCTACATCCTCTTCTAGGTCAAGCGTTCATTTTGAAGATGAGGGTAAACAAAAAACAACTTCCTTTTCGTCCTGTCCAAATTTAAGGAAGAGCAATAGCGTATGCAATTCCTTATCAGAAGCAAGTGATATTTTTGTGGAACTTATAAGAATCGATAGCGACAATGAAACTGGAGAGGCCGTTTAATAGTTCTACAAAAAAAACCTAACAATGATTATTATCATTAAAATTAAACTCTTGAACGATTCAAACAAAAAAGTAAAATATGCCAATGAAAGACTATTAATCTATTTATTAAACGAAATATCTAATAGATGGCGTATCATTTTAATAATAAAAACAATAATAGATGGAGCAAACTAAAATAAAACAACGCAACTATAAATTCAAAGTAAGGAATAAACATTCTTCAATTTCATCTTCAAGTTGAAATAAGAAGTTGAATCTTGATTTATAGCCTATGATACTATTTTATTCTCCTTTGTTTCGTCTATTATAAGTCGGAACTGTTTGAAGACATCAGTCCTGTGAAAATATTATTTTTCTTATCTATTTTCTTTTAAAAAAAAGCCAAACTATAAAAAAAACATGTAAAATAATATAAAGATTAGTATTATCATTTTATCAGTGACTATACGTCATCTGTCAGTATGAACATGTTCCAATTATTGCAAACACTGCACAGACTTAGAAATGATATTGTTGTGCTGTTATACAATTGCATATACAGTATATACGATATATATATATATATATATTCAGTATATACAGTATATGTATATATGAATATTAAATTTTAACGAAGAAATGTCAGTTATGTTTAGTTTGTATTTTATATATTTATAAACCTGTATAGTCATTCCTTGTTGACGTAAAGAAAGGTAAAAAAAACACACTATTGTATAGGAATTTTCATAAACAAGTTTTATATGTTTTATCTATCTTACCTGTTGTTGTTGTTTATTTTGTTTTTTTTTTTCCTTTCATAACAGTTGCTATTTTTATGAAGAAAACAAGTAAAAAAAACAGATGTAATTTTTTATCATCTTCCTTGTTAGAAAGCTCTTAATTTCTTTCTTTAGGATTTTTTTTTTTAAAAAAAAAATTAAAACCAATAACATCATATAGATGACGTTTCTATACTCTTCTCTTCCTGATTTGTTGGTTTTTTTTATCCCTCTTTTTTCTTCCCTCTTCCATTATTAAAAACGGGGGTAAGAACGACAGATGGCGCCAAATAAAAAACAATAAATAGATTACAAATTTGCTTGTCAATTGTCGGATCCGGTCTTATTCGGTTAGTAATATTTGTGCGATTTATAAATTGCGGAGATATTCCCTGTATATAACCTAGTTTTCCCATAGAACCGTTTTCTATTTTATTTTTACAACTGACCTTGCTCGTTGACACGGCAAAATCATTTTCTGTATTATTCGTTACTCTATAATTATCTTGTATACACATTGCGGCAACTTTGCGACTTAACGTCAGTTTGTATAGAGTTTAAGTAAATAAAATAATATTTATTCGCTAAAATCATCTTACCATCTGTTTTGTTGTTGTTGACGTATCCCATAGGCCTAGGCTTTGCGATATATTAATGTATAAGAGTGAATCGTGAGCATTTAGCTCATTTTTATCTCCAATTTCCGAATTTTCGGGTGGTCTACTACTCGAAAGTCATTTATGGAATGGAAAGTGTTTTACTATTTCCCTATGCATGACTGTTTCTCTTTCTGTCTATCTGTCTGTCTGTCTCTCTCTCTGTCTCTCTCTTTCTCTCTCTCATGATTTCTCAATTTTTCTATTATTTTTCTTTCTATCTCTCCTAAATGGACGACATTAGGATGTGTTTTCAATATAAAAAAAAGATTTTTATGGTTTCTTTAGTGGAAAGTAAGAGCTAAAAGATTGCTTAAAAGCTAGTTTATAGAATTAACTGTAGTCTGTGTTTTAGCCGCTCCTTATAATTAACGCTTTCCATTTCCGCCATAGCAAATAGAGAGTATTAAAGAATATAAAGGGAATATATTGTTGGATAGAAAAAGAAAACAAGTAACAGAGGTATCTGCCCAAAGAAAAATAAACAACATTTTTTCTATTAGGAATTTAAATAAGCGTTAGTAAATATATTCTAAGGTCTTTATATAAGGTGGTTTCGGTATTTAGGCCTACACTCTGCGGGGCGGTGTGAATTGAAAAAAAGCGCTAAATTAGAGCGTTGACAAGTGGCGAGCGTATAAAAAATCAATTAAATCCTTTGTAGAATAGTGGGGAGTATGGTGCTTTTAACGCGCGCGAACCAGAATGTCTCTCCGCCTAATCGGGTGTCCGCGAAGTGAGTTCGGAGAAGTGTTTTTTTTTTATTTTCACTTTTCTTGCCTGTATGCAAATCATTTCAAACTACCAATCCTTTTTTATGCTTATCATAAAGGAAAGTCGATATGTTAGCGTCTGTGAACACGCGTTAGTAATTAGACGTCTTGGAAAAACTGTCAAAGATCATCGAAGCCAGCGATTATTGTAATTCAAGCAGTCATTCGGCATGTGTACGACCAGGGGCGACGTTCGAAAACATTCGTAGCGCTAATGACGCGGACGCGGTTGACCTTTGTTAACCTTTAGCCGGGACACGCGACCCTGTTCGGTGATGAGTCGGTTAATGATACTTAATGAGGTTGTTGTCTATATTATTCAGAAAAACGTTTAAAGTGTATCGTTAAAAAAATGGTTAAGAGCAATGCTGAAAATAAGAAGTGGGGTGTTGACGGGCGGAGTTAAGGTGGCTGCCGGCTATGTATGTGTGTTCGGTCGTAATTATTTCGTAGCTGCTCCAATAAAAAAAGGAAGAGAGAGAGAGATGACGCGTAAAGGTTGAGTGGTTATTTGAGCACAGGGAACGCTCTTCCTCAGCAAGATACTTCAACTTTGCGTGACTCCGACGTGAGAACTTGAACGTGTCAGCTCCGAGGTTTTTAGCTAATTTCTCAGTTTGGTAGTTCGTTAAATCGATACTACCAAAAACATTCTCCGGTTCCCTTTTTTACTCGACAAGACTCCCATTGTCTTTTACAAATGTGCCACTCCACATCTCAATACCAGTGAAATTAACTTTAAGCTCAATTAAAACCTGGAGTACAAAGGTGCAACCATATATAATAAAACCCATGCTCGTTACCTTACCCTTATATTGACATAATATACTTAGTCGTCACCAGCAGAAGTTCGCAAAGAATATACTACGACGTATATGGAATATAATATATAGTATATATATACCACATAGAAAAAGAAAATATTGAAAGCATTTTTTTTGCCATGGGGTATAACTCTGCACGCCGATTGAAAAGAGACAGCAAGTTTTCACGCTTATAATAATGGTTATTGTCCTTTTAAACTATAAATATATCTATTGGGCCGAGGAATTTTTTTATCTTCATATTTCACAGTCGATGACGCTGGACTGAAAAATGGATATATTATAGAGAATATATATATATATATATATATATTTATGTATATATGTATGTATTCAATATGTATCTATGTATGTAATGTTTATTATACAATATATAGTGCATACATTATATAGATGGATAGATATATTCATATTTGGATTATTGATAAGATTCTTAACTGATCATTTCTTTCAATACATATTTCTTTTTCTGTGATTTAATTACGTAAATTATTGAAATTTTTTCAACTAAAAAAGGGAAAGTTTTTAAAATTTTAGATGGTTTTTTTTTTCATTTACATTTTCATTTTGTTTTAGATCTTTGAACATTGGATAATTCATTATTATTGATTTCGTTCTTCTTCTTCCTTCTTTTCCTCTCTCTCTCTCTCTCTCTCTCTCTCTCTTTCTCTCTCTCTTCTCTTGCTTATATATACCGCCCATTTAAGAATTTTATATAATATTAATTTATTGAAAAAATGAGAAATATTTTTCCTTTTGATCTTACAAGTTTTCCTACCGACCACCCTTTATAAAAATGGGTCATTATAATAACTGCGTGACGGAGGATGAAAGCCCTTCGCCCACGGAAACATTTTGCCGAAAGCAATAAAGGGGAACGCCGTGCTCACAATTAGACCAAGTTGGCCGCTAATTAACGGCGAGCGGCGCCACTAGCAAAAGCCAACATCCGGTCTCTGGATCCGTATACATTTCAAGAAACTGGGGGGGGAAAAAAACGAGCGAAAATTAGTTCGTTAAGCGTCTACGTAATTAAGGGGAATATATACAAAGTGAGCGTGACGTCAAACGACGGAGGATGAAAGCTCATCGTCATCGCAGCACGTCAATCACGCACAAGATGGCCACCCACGTTATACGCGTTACATAATCGCTCTATCCTTCCGCCGATTTTTCTTTGATCGTTTAAGTTCCTCGCACGATCAATCTAAGACAGTTCCTTTCATTTCTCTTCTATTCGTCCGTCGAAACATAATAAACGTATGGATTTCATAAAAGTTTCCAATTAACTATCTACATGAAATACTATGAATTGTTAATAAGCTAAACGTCATTGGGAAAGATGGAAAAAGGAATTAGACGACAAACAAACACCGATCGCACAATTAAGATAAAAGGATGAGACGACACGCTTTGTTTGACCAGCACGTGCCACTTCCCCCTGAACTTCTTTCTTCTTTTTCATTTCTACATTACACTATGTACCGAAGAGCCGCTTGGAAAAACAACGAAAGTCACTCAGAACGCCCGCAGCTATACGTGACGCCCGGCGTCGACCGTCACACAAAACGCAGATTTAGCCGTCTACTGCTTACAAAGGAGCGTCTCAAGCATGAAAAACGTCTTTAGACGCTACTTATGAATGTTGCAGTAGTGTGGTCGAACTTTTTTCTTCATTCGTCACTCCTGTTCAATTCTAAATTCATTTAATATTGACAGTGACACGCGTCAGTCGAATTAATTCTTTTATTTTTTTTTAGATATGCTTAAATATATATCTCACTATCATTTATATCTGTCATTATCTTTGACGCATACAGGTGTGTTACGAGCTTCCTTTTCATCGTACATATATATGGGGTTTACATTATCGTGCGCAAAACTATATATACAGTATTTCTCCGGATTTCTAAAAATACACACGGTATATAAATGTTTTATATAGTAAATTTATGTTTTCTTGGGAAAAGCGATTCCTGATCCATTCTGATTGAGTGCTTTAGAAAAAAGGGTTTGTGGTAAAAACTTCTAGGTGTTACAAGGGGATCCCCGCGCATGACTAGGACAATTCGATGCGTTCAAACTCGTTAAAAGCGTTCAGTGACGTGTAATAACGGTCATGACGTCACGTGACATGTATTGTACCTTGCTAGAACATTTCAAGTGGTGCGGGTGTATACAGTACGTAGAGCCCGCAATGTGACAGAAAATATCACCGACATCCACTGAATTTATCATATTTTTTTGAATTATAAAGTCCTCTGTGGGCGATACATATAATGCTATTGTTCTCTTTCTTTTTGTTTCATCTGAAAATAGACGTGGTCAAGTGAGCGCCAGTTGGAAAATGGGCAATGTTGTAGGGCAGACGGAGTGCATTAGAGAATTTCCGCATCATTCCCTTTACCGTATTTTATCAGCTTATTTAAAAACTAATTACAGATTGCCACAATTTTTGTTTTAAAAATATTTGTATAAACAGTTCATGAACTAAGAGATAATTTGTGTAACCAAAAAAAGGAATGAGAGAAATAATCATTTAAATTACTATTTTTTAGATAAATGGACAGATAGATAGATAGATAGATAAGTGAATGGGAGAGAGAGAGAGAGAGAGAGAGAAAGAGAAGATAGATAGGCATATAGACTAATAGACAAAGGTGAATACATATCACCTATATATATTAGTAAATATGAACATATGTGGTAAATATCTATTGCAGTTTAAAATAAAGTTATTTATAGTACATTGATAACGCATCATATTTTGAACAATAACAAAAAGCAATAGATAAAAGGGTAAAATTTTCGTTTTATTCACTCCCACCCTCCCTCATAGGTGTATGATCCTATATATTATTTTACATGTATTTTATGAGTACACCCATAGAAATACGATACATAAGATAATTAAACGAGCCATATAGCTTAATTCGCTATAATACTGTATATGTGAAATAATATTTTATTATATGTTTTAAATTCAATTTCCTTTTATTTATTATTGTTTATAAAAGCTAAAAAAGAAATTAAATGTCTTTTTTCTTCTTTATTACTTTATTAATAGTGTATATTTGCCCTCATTTTTCCCTTAGGTACGTTCAAGTGATACCTATCGACCTGCAAAGAGTATGACTCTTTTCTATTGTTTGTAAAAAAGAACAAGAGGTTAACGAGTTAATTTGTATGGGGGAGAGAGAGGAGTGGGGGGTGGATTACAGCAATACAGGAATGCAGCAACCCATTTCATTGTTATATAGGTTTGAAGAGCTCCAGAGAAAAGACTTTTTTCTTCTGTTATATACTATATATATATATATTTATAACTCTTGAACAATATTATCTGTCTTCACACCACTTTTGAATTATAAATACGCAAGTAAAGTATTTCTTGTAGGGTGAATTTAAATTCTTTATTCAATTCATTTACATATTATAAACCATATATTATACATTTATGTAGACATTAAATGCTTCTCAGAACATTGACCGGTCTAAATGGCGTAAACGGGGCTGAAGAAAAACTGTTTATTAATAATGCATAAGTTTGAACAATACTGACACTTGAGACATCTGAACACACTTGTGCTCAGATGATGAAGCATAAAGGGGGGGAAACAGGGTAGAATTTTATTGCGTCATAATATCTTTAATGATAGCTCTTCCGTAGAGACAACATTGGATTTCTTAATGGATAAATAATTAGCGTCATTTTTTACGGGTCGTATAAAACATTGCACAGTCATTTTCATACTAATTATCATGTTTGTACAATTTCCCATCGTTACGTGATAGGGTAAATAAAAAAATTTATGTTTCATTTTAACTTTAATTATCGTAATTATTAATTAAAACTTTACGTTTCGATAATTTTGATGTATTCCTTTCTCTTCTCTCTTCTCTATTTCTCTCCCTCTCTCCCGTTAATTCATCTTTATTTCATTTATACTTGTCACGCAAGAATTATCCCTTTAAAACTACCTGCTTGTGAAAAGTCAATATTTTGAAACAGATAAACTTGATAATTAGATTTCCGGGGAGCTAGATTTGTCAACAGTAGATAACAAGACTTTATCTCTCTGTAATTAGTAATACACGTTTGGAAACTTTAAAACAGCATACATGCAAATGACATGTACAGGGCATATTGCCAACTGCGGGCTTGAACAGATGTGACTCCATCAACCCTCATAAATGGACATCATTATACGAAATTTACAACGGCGTTAAAGGAAAATATTTTAACGAACTGACGTCTCGCCTCTTTGGTGACGCCAGCTATGATCACAAATTTCACCTCGTCTGACCCCAAGTGATTAAATTGAATAATCGTCCATGTTAGAAGAAAGCTTGCCGACATTGATAATTGGCTTTCAGTAAGGCGCATCGTTTTCTAAATAAAATAAAAAACGCCGCTTAAATAAGATGCCGTCACGCAAATGTCGTTCCACTGTCGACTTTTATTTTCATCACGTGACATTCCACATTCAAATTTTTTCATAAAAGTTACACTCGATTATTTTCCTCTCATCACACCTTATTAAAAACTAATTTAAAACCATTTTTTGTTATTATTGTTCATTATTTCTCTTTTTTTTTGAATAATAAATCCAAAAAAATTGTTTTTTTTTTTATCCTCCTTTCTCCCCCTCCTCCCTCTCCTTCTCTTTCTCTGTCTTCTCAACAAATTTTCGTTTAAAAAAGAATCTAATAACCAATAAAAAAAAAGAAAGAATTGAATAATACTCTGAATTGAGATTTCTAATAGATGGGAAACCCTTTCATCTAAAGAGTTATCAAATAGAAAAAGACTATGGGAAAAATTCACAAGTTATCTTTTGTTAAATAAACCTATACTACATAAAAAGAAGTAGGTGGTATACTTGAAATTGAATAGTTATCAGTTTGAGCCTCCTCTTCACAACGTGTAATGGATGCGGATATCAAGCGCAGTTTTTTTTTTTCAAAAAAAAAAAGAGTAATTAAAAGTTGTATGGGCAGTTAAAACACAATAGACGCCCCTGCACCAGCATCTAATATAATAGACGTTAAGCAGCATGAAGAGGATTATTTTTAACACACGATACTCTCTATTGAACGTTGTATGGTAGTTTGAGGAGAGGAAAACTTGAAAGCTATAGTTAAAGATTAAAGAGACTGAAGAATTAGGTTTGTATTCAAGAAAAGAAAATACAAATTATATGAAAGATTACTCTTATCGTAAAAGTACGAATCATGCTAAAATACATTTACGGTACATTAAATAGCTGACTCATCCGGGTATGTATTTAGTCTTAATTCACAGACTTAAAATAGATACGTAACGTAGATATTTACAAAGACATCTCACACATGGATTGAATGTCTCCAAAAAATTAATATATAGCGTCTAATATGGAATCTTATAAAGTGAAGAGGATCGTGACGAAGAGGCGGTTCTAGGCGACGTCTAACGACGCCCGTCATTTCCTGTATTAAAAAAAACAACGTAGACGCCCCTGATATAGGGCAAAAAAACCGAAGAGAAAAATATCGGCAATCAAGAACCGCTTATTTTTTTTGCCGATAAAATTGGCGGTAAATTACGGGGATTTTTGGCGTGAAAAGGTCTAATTACGCCGACGAGGCCTTATTGATTATTTATAAATGGTATAGACTAGAGTTTTTTTTTATTTTATTATTATTATTTTCCCGCGCCCGGTCCGAAAAAAAAATCTCTCACTCTCAGCAGGTGCGAACGACTACGTTTAAATAAAAAGGAGTTAATTAAAAGTAGTAAGAGCAGGATTGCGGCGTCTTAGTGTTTAGTTGAAAACAATAATAGAAGGCGATGATTAATAATTGAAACAACGACCACCCTTGCTGAAATTGGTGGCGTTATTTAGTAACTAATTTAAATGTAAAAGGTGTACACTGAGTTTTTTTTGTGTTATATGCGCATATGTGTGTGAGAATGCAGCTGTAGAAAGTGTTCGTTTCTTTGATCTGATCACGTATATACACCTTCGTCTCACCGGGTTTTCGCGCTACTAATTGCACTTTGAATTAAAGGCGTCTTTAAACGATTCAGATCGACCGATAGGTAAATGATGCTAATGAAATTTCGCGTGCTACATTCTTCTTATCTATATAAGCCTATAATTGACTAAAATCTCTTCTAAGGCGAAAAAGAGCGAGTAATCAATTATTGCTCGTACTTCTTCTCTGTAATAATAGGAAAAGTATAATAAAATAGTTTACAATCTTTTCATTGTAGTAAGAAAAAAAACGGTTTATGTCAATTTTATGAACTTTATCTTATTATTTTAATCATTTAACTGATTTTTAAAAAATAATTAAATTTTTTTATTAAATATAGAATGATCTAGATATCTAAATATTATCTCTTTTTATGACCTATTTTATGGAATATCCTCTTTCTCTTTTTATTTTTTTTACCCTACGACTCTGTCTCCCTGCTGTTGCATTGATACAAGATATTTTATCATATATCTCTATTAATAATTTCTTTTTAGCTGTTGATTGTTATATCGTTTACCAAAATGCAATCTAAATTACACGCATCCATATATTGTTTTCCACAATCAGGTGATAACCCTGTCAACTCGTAATATTTCAATAATTAAGTACTTAAATATAAAGCATATAATTAATTTACCCACTTTTATTAATAAGTTTATGCTTTTATTATACACTTTTGCATATACACACACACACATATATATATATATACAGTATATGCAAGAATATAAATACAACAGGTGTACTATATAGTATATGCTGTATATATTTATGTAGGTTAAGTTTACTTATATTAAGGAGAAGCAATCAATCAGCCTATACAAAAATTGACGTAAAAAATTGACATCTACAATGTTACAAACTAATCATTAGTGAGCATTTGTTAACGAATATATATATACTGTATATATACGGTAAATGCTCTGTAATACTGTATAACTTCTATAGAAAAACATCATAACTCGTAATTAGGCCCTCTGATTACAAAACAATATACAAACTTTTCAAAGTAAACGATATCTATTATTTAACTAGTTAAATAGGTTATGACTTAAAATCAGATTGATCAAGTTGATTTTTTTAATATTAATAATAAATATTCATATTCTAATTAGGCTTAGTACAATGGAAAAAATTTTAATATTAATATTGTATATGGTTTACTGTATAATCTTTTATAGCTGTTTTTATATATTGAAACGAATATGATCGTGTTTTTGTTAGAGTTTTGTGAACAAAACTAATATACACCTACTTAATATAAAATTTACTAGTATGCAAAGGCGGATCAAGAAAACTTACACTCCAAGTCGTAAGCCTATTATCATCGAAAATCTTGAGAGGCGAAAAAAAGGTCTAGGGGGTATTAGGAGAGGTATGAGAGTGAGAGATTGATAGAGCATAAGAGCAAAAAGTAGAGGGGTGTTGGAGGGAGGGAGAGAAAGAGAGAGCAGAGGCGAAGAGGGGAGGGAGCGAGGGAGGGAGGCAGAGAGAGAAGAAAGAGATTTTGAAAGGTTAAAAGAAAAGAAGTAAAAGAAGAGAGAGAAGATGAAGAAAAAAAAGGAAGGCAGAGGTGTCCTGGTGAGCCTTTTGAAAGAATCGACCAGAAACATTCTTAGCTCGCCGCTAACAAGCGCGTCAACATGTCGTTCGAACAAGGCGACATAATGAGATAGATTTTTGAGTGACTACCGTGCCCGTCTATTGTTCGATAGTCGGCGAGTGGCCACTCGTAGTTCGAACGTGCCCGCACACGAACTTTAATTTTAAAACTTTAATATTCTCCGTCATATGGCAAATAGAACTTTAAATGTAAGACGCTTTTTTCCATAAAATATTCATGATTGCAACAAGAAATAAGAATGGTGAAAGCTATTAAATGAGTGAGCTATCTGTAACAGACAGTATATGAGAATATTGAAAAATATTTCACTATTTTTAGATGTATACTATAGAGAATAAAAGAAAGAGGGAGGAAGAGAGAAAGAGGGAGAGGTGTGAAGGGACAAGGGCAAAAGGAGAGAGAGTGATAGAGTAATCAAGAGAGGTAGAAAGCAGAATTGTGTTTTGCTCACTAGAGATCAAATATGTTGTATAAATATGTAGATATATTTATAAATATATGGATATATATAAACATGTAGGCAGGGGCAGAGAGACAGAAAGAGAGAGAAACAGAGCGGGGAGAGAAAGATGAAGCAAAATTGTAGAAATTTTTGCAAGTTGACGTTTTATCATAACAAATGCGCATCCCCCTTAAAGGCTGTTAGCGACAGAAGGGTTTATGAGTTGGGAGGAGTTAACGCCGTCTGGCAGGGAACCGCAGCTAACTTAGCTTTGCTGATTGGCCAGTTTTCAGCGCTACGTTGATCTTTTGAGCAATGGGCGTTGAGCTTCTAACAGCCGTTCGCCTATCAGCCGCCAGCGCCAGTTCGCTTCCCGTTTTTATTTGATCATATTATGAACAGCTCATTCGCCGAGGCCCCTTCACCCAGCAACAGCAGCAAAGGTAATAGCAGCGAAAGCGGCAGCCTAAACATGGACGAAGGCAACGATTACAGCCGCTTATCGTCTGACGAAGAGATAGACGTGGAGGATAGCGGAAAATCAGATTTGAATAAGAACAAGTTAGCTTTCTCTATTGCTCGAATCATGGAACCTAGTAGACCGAAGACGATTGAACCTGGAGAAGTATTGAGGAATTCTACCAACTCCTCCTTTCAAATTCCATCTGCATTTCCCTACTTGCACATGCATAACCTACTGGCAGAAGGTCAGAGGAGGGCGGCAATTTTAGAACAAACTAGGGGAAGCTTTTTACACCCGGCCTTTTACGTGTCACCTTCCATGGTACAGGCCTACAGATACGGAGTTCCCAATACAACAGTACCCGAACAGCAGGGGGTGGTCAAGAAAGCTCAGGACCTTTCGGTTAAATCAACGGCTAATCGTTCTTCGTCTCCTAAACATTCCGAATCCCCGCAGTCTTCTCCCGCCAAATCGGAAAAGAGTAAGGACGAGGGATCAGACGACAAAAAGAACACCTCCAAAACATTCACCTGCCCGGAATGTGGCAAAATTTTCAACGCTCATTATAATTTAACAAGGCATATGCCAGTTCATACCGGAGCTAGGCCATTTGTCTGCAAAATTTGTGGTAAAGGTGGGTGACACTTTTTTATTATATTTAAATTTATCAAACAATGTTACCACTCAATAACAATCTATAATCTTATCTTTTATAAATGTTTTTATAAATCTATACCATCCTTATTCAATCGTCAGTCATCATTGTCTAAATGCTGCCTCCGTGCGTGTGTATATACATGTGTGTGCTGACGTGTTTGTATGTTTGCATGATGTGTGCATATACGTATGAACAAGCACGGATTTATATCTATTTATATCTGTTTGTACACCGGGTTTTTTTTTTATACCTCCCTCTTTCCCTCCTTTTCTTTCCTTTTTAAATTACTCGCTTTTTCGTCCGACGCCGTTACACCTTTTCCTGTATAATTTGATCGGAATGTCTCGGGAACGCAGGTTTCCGATAGCGTAGATTTTGATTATAGAGATCTTGAGCGAGTCGAATGAGATTATTAACGGTGACAACACGAGCAGAACAAATGAAACGTGTGAACGGAGCAAATTCGCGTTCGGCGGCTACCGTTCAAGCATGCCCTTAGGACTCCTTTCACTCTTTCGAACAACTGGGTCAAGTGAACGGCGTCCTATACGTTTTTTCCATTCGACGTCTAAATTCTGTATAAAAATTCAAATTGGCCGAAAAATTGCATTTTTTCCTGCTGAAATTTACAAAACGACAATTATGATAGGATTATAAGCTCACAATCCATGCGAAATCCGACCATTTACCGCCTATTTTAATAAAAAATAAAAGAAAGATAGAGAGAAAAACAGAGAGAGAAAAAAATTGATATTTACATCGTTATTTGTTGTTTTGTTTTGTTTTTTACTTTTTCCTTAGTCTACATTGCCGTCTAATTGATAAGGAATAGGATAAATTAACAATTGTTGTTCACATGTTCAGTATACAGGTGTTTCATTAAATAGAGGGGATTTTTTGCCGACTTTGTTACATGTTGACCATTTTCTACTCTCAAATTAGTCAATTTGCTCAATTACTCTCTGTAATTTTCGAGTAAAGCGCCGATTCTGTACATTATATGTATTTATATTTACACTTGTTTGTACGATTTATTTAGCCCTATACATTTTTTTTCAATGTCTTTCATAAAAGCCTAACATTATATTACGTCGTATTACATCAACCCTCCTCTCCTCTTTATTGGACTTTTTGTACCGTAATTAGCTATCTTGATCAGATTTTATTAGCATTATATGATGGTACTCTTCCCTAAAAATAGATTATTCATTAATTTGTCCAAAAATAAAAACAAGTCGACGCCAACACTTACAAAAAAAAAACATATTGTGACCTATTTATAATTGGGTCATTTATTAATCCTTTTTGTCGTTAATGTTTATGATAAGGTTGAGAGATCGTGTATATTTGTTTAAGATTAATCATATACCCCCTTTATCCCATTACCCTTTGCATTTGTTAAGTACTCGGAAGAGAAAGGAGAGAGACGCTCATCGGTCGTTTCAATCTATTCAATCAATGACAAGACAATTATCAAGCGTTTTTTTTATTATTTTCCAGGTTTCCGACAAGCGTCGACATTATGCCGCCACAAGATAATTCATACAGCGGAAAAACCGCATAAATGCCAGACTTGTGGAAAAGCGTTTAATAGATCGTCAACGCTAAATACTCACATGAGAATTCATCAAAATTACAAGCCATGGGTCTGCGAATTTTGCGGAAAAGGTTTCCATCAAAAGGGCAATTACAAGAACCACAAATTAACTCATTCATCAGAGAAACAATTCAAATGTACAATATGTAATAAGGCATTCCATCAGATCTATAATCTTACCTTCCACATGCATACGCACAACGATAAAAAACCGTTTACGTGCCATCTGTGCGGTAAAGGATTTTGCCGAAATTTCGACCTGAAGAAACATATGAGGAAGTTGCATGACGGGGCGTCACCACCAGCTTCCAGTGAAGCGAAGACGGCTAACTCAGCTACGACAACCACTAGCTCTACAGTACCTCAAACTCCACAACAGCAGAGTATACCAACACCTCAAACTCCTCAACCGTCTTTCGTGCCGAGATCCGCCTTAACGTCCCCACTCGTTCAACCTGCATCCTCTAGACTTATGAATCCATTTTTATTTACACCATCACCTGTTAATCCTAACTATTTGACTAAAGTACCAATTTTGTGAGAAAGAGAGAGAGAGAAAAAAGAGATTTTGAGGGTGAAAGATATATGTACAGTAAAAATATTTAAATATAACTATATATATATATATATGTATATAAATAGATAGATATTTAGTACGAATGTTTAAGTAATGGGAAGAAAGGGAGAAGGTGATTGAATGAGAACGAAAAGAGAGAGAGAGAGAGAGAGAGAGAAAGAGATGGATAACGGTTAAATTAAATTTGCTAGGAAAACTGTCCACAATAAATATAACTCTTCAAAACGTCTAATGACTGAAAAAGAGAAAGATGTACGATAATAAAAACGAAAATATACAAAACTAACCGAAGTTTTATATATTATTTTTGTAATCGGACCTTTAAAGAGATTGCTATCTATTAAATGAAATTCCATTTCGAAAAAACCAACGAAAAGGCCATCGTTACAAGATAAAAAAAAAAAAATACTTTTGGTCCTCCATTATTAATTCATTCTACTTTTGATTATACGTTCCATTCAATCGACACGCAAAAAGGGGAGGCGAAAAATTTTTACATGCTCGAATGCTCATTCTGTCTCTATACAATCAGTCTTTACCTAGGGCTTTTTTTTTATTTCTTTTGGATTGTATTTGTAATACTAAAACAAGCTTTAATGGTTATTTTTTTTTTGTTTGTCCACTATTTAATTGTTTTACGTGAAATATGAAAAACAAGAAATATACAGTTTTGCTTTTAATTTTAATAAAGACATCTCTTTTAATAATTAAAAATCTATTCTTGTCAAAAAAAACAAAATATGCAATATCTATTTTATATGTTTTCTATTTATGTATACGAAATTAACCACATAATACTCTTATTTCTTTGGAATTATGTCTTTTTTCTTGTTGATATCATATTCAATCTATAAAAGAAATATAGGAAGAATGTCCTATTTTTCACTTAAGGTAAAAATTGACGCCAAATAAGAAGAGCACTTATTTAATTAAAATTATATTTACTTTATATTTCAATAGCTTAAAACACTTTTTATATACAATATACATACATTACCGTATGTATTTATGTGTAACTAGCCATGCATACTGTAAATTACTTGGATATGTATGTATAATTGATCAAAGATTAAAAGTAATGCTTTGAAAACGTTAATATACTATTTGTATAGAGTTAAAGAATTTTGGTCTATCCTAGAACTTTTCCACCATCTGGTCATTAAAGGTAATAATTCTTGGATGATGTCACACTTGAAATGAACTGAAAAGAATCACGTGACTGTCAAAATCTCGTTAAAGACAGAGTGTTCATGCATAACATGCAGGTGAGCTATTCGTGATTGGCAAAGCACATGGAAAAAATCTCAGCTTTTCTTTTTTTTTTCATAACAAGAATTATAACAGGGTTATAATTTTAATAAACACCTCATCAATATGTATGAAGGTATAGAAATGCTCCTACGAAAATATTCTATAAGAAATGTAGTAGAGAATTAAATGAGGTCACATGATCATAATAAAGGGCGCACTTGCTTACAAACTTTAGTGTTTAAGAGCAAATCTTTTATTATATATTCAATATATATATATATATATATATATAAATCTCTTGTTTATAAATACATATAGGAATAGGAGAAAGACAACGGAATAATCTGCGTATGTTCTATTTATACATAAATTTATACGTATAATAAAAGAACAAACGCACAAGATAATCGCAGCCATTACGGACCGTCCGATTAATGAATTAAAAGCGTAGACGTCGCAAACGCTGATTGATACTTCCGGGGCGTCGACGACACCTGGTTGCAATACAAGTGTGTTGTTTTTCTACAAACTTTTCCGATAGTTATCAACGATTTTCCCTACTCTTTTTTAAGCTTTTTTTGTACAAAATCCACCTACCACCTAAAAAAAGGCAAAAAATCGAACGGAAAAAAGTCAGCTGGTGCTCAGCGCCGTATTGTGGTGCGCAGTTTGTGACCTACTTTTCACCCACTTTAACTATTGACCAACGCCGTCCACTAACCACGCCTTTTTCGCTTTGATTTTTGTTTAAAATAAGTTCACCAGACAGACAGTAATTTTTATAGGCAAACATCAAAATTTCATTTAATTACCCTAATTAATTAATTTTTTTGAATATTTAGATGAAATATTCAGATAACTATTATTCAAATAGTAAATAGGGAATCAAGCTACTCTGATTTAGCACTGCTTGACGCCTGGAAGATCCTAATCGCATTTATTTCGTTATATAAGTAGAAGAGAGGTGAATAAGGGAGGGGAGGTTAAATATAGGCCTGTAGTTGAATATAATGATTACATTGATCAACACCTCTGCAGGAAACGTTTGAAAAGAGCGGAGAAAATTGAATGTTCATAAATTGACATAGTTGACATGCCAGTAGGGTAAAGGATGAACAATTTGAAGAAGCGTTCAAGCTGTTTCCCGCTGCGTCCTTTCAAATTTCCGAAGCGCTCGCGCGAAAACAAATTAAGGGACGTTTTCTATCCCTTTAACGAATAGATAATATAGATGGATAAACCGACGAATGTCCCACCGGACCTTAGTTCCATTCGCCTAGAAAAAAGAGACGGCTCATAGAATTCGTGACGCTATTGACGCTGTGTCCCATGAGCGTCCCATTCGATTCGCCCATGTCTATTTACACCCGAATAGCAAATTTTTTCTCCTTTTTCACCCCTCAATTCGCTTTCCAATTTTGCCTTTCCTCACTTAATTCTTGCGCTCTACGTAATGCAGGTGCGGTGCCAATTAGTCATTGACCAGCGGCTATCTGCAACGACGTCTAACGAATCTAGCTCCTAGGTGGTCGTCACCTTGAGCAGATGCTTAAGTTTCTCAGATGTGGTCAAATTAATAAGGCAGCCCCTAAACATCTATAAGGTTAATGGCTTTACATTAAAAGAAGGAATAATATAAAAGAACAAGTGTAAACTATACATACAGTATATACTGTATATAAAAAGCATCTTATATAATATAGGTCCTAAATGATTTATTGTATAGAATAAATAAGAAAAACAAATGAAGAAGACAAATTCGCACAGTTCTGTTTCATTATTATCTCACTTCAACATTCATTTTAATACAGAAAAGTAATTAAGAGCCTAATACTTGTAATTAAAAAGTAACAAAAATACAAAACTCTATTAAAATAAGCAATTTGAACAAGTAAACTTGTAAATGAAAAAACTAATTTATGTTATTAAATATGGTTTTTTTTCTCTCATTTTGTAAGGAATAGGTGAGAAAAAATACTTTCTCTCCGCTCTCTCTCTCTCTCGCTCAGTCTCTCTCAGTCTCTCATCAGTCTATTATTAAATAGCTTTAATATATGAAATAAGAAATTACTGGGGGGTAAAACTTTAACGTTCCTTTTATATATCATTTAAAAACGTACTATATTAAGAAAGTACTGCGCTGAGGAATTTATTTATAAATAGTTTATAATTATGTGAAACTTAACATACTAAAGTTTCCTTTAATGCTAATAAACATATATTATATATATATATGTAGAGAGAGAGAGAGAGAGAGAGAGAGAGAGAGAGAGAGAGAGAGAAAGACTTCTAAGACCTCTTTAACTTTCTACTATGTACGATATTTCTTTTTCTTATTGATTCTCAACGCCATCTAGAGCAGTTAGATGAACCAAGTCAGATGAAATAGCTAGTCTTGTAGAAGTCAGTCGGGCTTTGGCATGACCTACTTTTGAATGCCTGGAAAAAAAAGCTGTAAAGTGCTAATATGTCACGGAGTATTCCAGCCGCTTTATTGTTAGCGTATTACTTTGAACTAGTTATCGAACAATACAATAGCTGGCGCTATGTTTTTGCCTCAAGTCACGGAATTTTCTCAGTTCTTTTTGTTAATCAATCGTATCAACTTGTTTATAATCTCGTTTGGAAAATTCTCACAGGGGTGGGGCCTTATAAATTAATACAACATGTATATATATATATATATATCTGTTTACAATTGCTGTATATATCTACTAATATTTATACATCTATAAATTTCCATATAACTTGAAGAAATCTATTGATGTCCCTTATATATCTATGTCTAAATATATATAAATATATATATATATATATATATTTATGGATATATACAACATACAGTATATATACTGTAATTTTCGCACCTGCAATAGATCAATATTCCATTATGTAGCTTGATTGCAGCTCACCCGCAAAAATGCTTTAAGTATCCGAATAAAAGCGCGTCACGCTGCGAGTTTTTCTTACGAATCGTTCGTTACGCTTTTGTTTATGGACGGTCATTAATAGTCAACGATTTGTGCCGCTTTTTGCTGTATTGGATTAGAACTTTTTGTACTCTATACCTCCTCTTTTTCTTTTCTTTTAATTTTTTTTCCCTTCTACTTGTTACTTATTATCCTTAAGAGTATGTACTTGTACGTTGTATGTTATGAAAATAGAGATTTCTCTTTTGTCTCTGTTGTGTCTATAGTTTTTATTCTATATATACTATGTCTTATATAATATAAGATATATACAATGTGTATATATAAAAGGTAAAGAGTAAGTGGTTTTTCAACAAGGAAATTAGTAATCTTTTGTTAACTTAAGCGTACGGGGTGTTTTAAATTGAAATTCTCCATTCTATTAATATTTGTACTATATTATATCAACAGTCCCTTTCTTACTTCTCTTTCATTTGCTTTTTATAATTCCTTCTTCCTTTTTATTACCGTTTTTTCTCTTTTTTTACCTTTTTAACATCTGTCCCTCATTGATAGCTCCTCAAGTTATTGTCCGTCAATTGTTTACAAGTATCATTTTTATGCGCCACTGTATATTTATTTCTATCACATTATAAACTTTATCTAAATGATCTATTTGTACTTTTAATTGACTATAAATAATATTTTACATTAACTGTCATCCAGTTTGATGTCTTTTGTGTATGACGAACGTTAAAATCTCTGATAGATCTGATATGAGTGGTGCCATCTTGCGTTATGTTTTCTATAATGTGTAACAAAATTACCCAGTATTTGATACTTTACGAATTTGACCTAATAATTTGTTACAATTGCTTCAATAAGAGAAAGAATACTGGATAAAATCTAATAGATAGTGACAAGAAATAAAAGAAACATCAATTTCTGTTATTGCCTGCTCTAGAAATTACGTAATATGATATGTTACGTTACATAAAAGTATATAATTGATCACCCCTATTACGTATTATTATATTTATATTATGGATAATCTTGTAAAAATGATTGCACGTTTCCTTAAAATTAAAAAGTCATTCTAATTCTTATTAAATAATAGAAGAGAAGGAAAAAGAGGAAGAGTAGTAACAACAAAACAAAGAAAAGAAATAGGTAAAATAAATGAGAATCTTAATAAAAAGGTTTACACTTGATTCTACTCTGTATTATTGAAAGAATGAGGAAGTTGATTACAAGATTCTAATGTAATATGACTTCTTATCTTGTCATATATATATATATATATATATATATATATTTGGGTGATTAAGAGTTCTTCATTAGTAGATATGAAAAAAAAACTTTGTAGTATATAAATAAGTCAAATAACTATTCGTAACTTGGATATTCAGGCAAGAGAATTGCTCCGAATACATTTTAATTCTACTCTGTAATACTTAAGGATTGGCGATGTCGTTTGAAGGATCTAATTGTATACCCACTTCACTGTCAGGTTTTTATT